GATAGATAGATAGATAGATAGATAGATAGATAGATAGATAGATAGATAGATAAGAATCAGATGTGGAGGCAGGAAAATACTGAATTTGAATCAAGCTTGAACAACATACACAGTTCAAGAAAAACTAAACTAAATAATGAGACCCTGTCTCAAGCGTAAACAAACACATATAGTAAAATAAGTTTTACTAAGAACTCTTAGGAGAGAGCAATTCTGGCCCCTCTTCCAGCTGCCATGCCATTTCTCCCCATGTGAGCTACATGCACTATAGCTCAAAGCCATCTGCCACACCATGACCCAAACAAGATCCTCGCTAGAGGCTGACGGGACCACCTGACCCTTTTCCTCTCTTTGTGTAGTGCCCACCTTCAGAGAGTTTATTACAGCCGCAGAAAACAAACAAACACAGACATCACAATAGCAGACATGTGGAAGATGCTTCAGGTAGAGGTTAGTGTAGCTTAAGAATGAAACTTAATTATGAAGAAGGGAAATAAAAGAGACTAGGGTGGAGGCTAGATAAAACGAGACGCACCCTGAAAGTTGCCTCATGGGATGGTACCCGCAAGTCTGCATAGACCCCAAACCACTGCTAACATTAGCTCCAACCCTACAGAGGAACTCTACAGTAGAACTCGTCATCTCTAAATTCTGTGTACAACCAAGAGAAACAAGAATAAAGTCTATGTTTGCAGTTCAGCAAATCTACATCAGGTTGCCAAAGCTATCTTTGCTGAGAAAAAAATGTGGAATTCTTGGCACCCCATTGACCTAACTCCATTGATCACATCACTGAACTTGATGGCTATGTGGGAATGGCACAGACTTCCAGAGACAATGTGACTAAAAGCCCAGATGGCTCTGTCAGAATACCTGGATCTAATTCCAGCTCCAACCTTACCGGCGGCATCACCTTCCACCTGGTGCTCAACCTCTGCCCTCAGCTTTCGATTCTTCATGGCTTGTGTCATAGCCTCAATAAACGTTATTCAGTTTATTACTGAAATTCAGAATATCTGACCACCATAGACTCCACCAAAAGACTCTAAGAATCCAGTGTGATCCTCACTACTGTGAAGAAAATCCCATTTTGTACGACTTCCTTTCACACGCAGGAAAGTGATCTGTGCCTGATTAGCACGTGACGTAGCTCCAGGCATTAGTGAGCATCTGCTTCCTGTCTTTGCTGGAGATGTATTAATGACTTCTCTCATTTTCATGACCAAAGACCTGACAAAAATCAACCTAAGGGAAGAAGGGCTTATCGGGGCTGACAGTTTGAGGAAGGACATGGTGGAGAGTCAAGGTGAGGAAGGCGTGGCAATGGGGGCGAAAGGCAACAGATGGCCACATTGTGTCTGCAGCCAGGAAGCAGAGAGCAGACAGGACCTGGGGCCAGATTATAAAATCTCAAGGCTTTGCCCACAGTGACGCACTTCCTCCAGGAAGGATCGACCTGTTAAAGGTCCCGCAACCTTCTGAAACAGCACCACCAGCTAGGGGCCGAATGTTCAAGCAAGCACATAAACCTATGAGAGACATTTCATATTCAAAGCACAATGAAACCTTGATGGACGCTATGGAATTCCCCATTAATATTCTTCTAAAAAGTGAATATGCACTCTCCACAAGGGGGAGAAGCCAGGGAAAGCGCCTCATGTTAAAGAAACAAGCAGTTCTCACAGGTCAATGAAGTTGACTTAAACTGCTGTTAATTTGATCAAAAGAACTGCTATTACCTGGAGATATGAATGCATGGAAAGGAAGAACATGTAGGAGGCAGGCTCTTCACTTGGTGAAATGGTGATGGAAACACCTTAACATGCTATTAATCTTCATTCAGAATAACTTTTGCTCTCATTAAGAAGCCATTTCTGAAGGATCTGAAAGAGTGATGGCCAGGTATGAGTCTGCCATGAGCATGGGCGAGCATGGGCGAGGATTGGGGGCATACTTACCGGCAAGCTCAGTCAAGCACCTACGTCCTATTGCTTTCGCTTCCAGAATCGCGCTGCTGCTCGGGCAGTTTCTAGCTGAAGACAAAAGGCAGATGAAGTAGAAAATGACTTCCACAACTCTCTCATGGCAGAAGGGTTAGAAAAAGTTCTAAGAATGGGGAGAACCAAATCTCATCGTTCTTACTCCTTTTCAAGCCAAACAGGTGCTTGCATAACTCTGTCTGGGTAGGAAACACTCTGATTTTGGTAATGTCTTTTGCTCCTCTTTTTGGTTTCTCAGAGTCGAAACCATCTCCCCCCAAAATGAAGCTGTCTTGGAAAAGTAAAATTCTAACAAAGGTTTTGATCCTGGAGAATCTGAAGCCTGTGTGGCATTGGAAGGGAACTGTATGAAGGTGATGGAGGCATCACACACATTCACAGTTCCAGAGCCACGGAAGAGGGTTAGACAGAGGGGCGGAATGGCGGTGATATGTGATAAAGACACTTAAATGGAATTTAACGGTTTGTTCTCTTTCAAATTACTGAACATTAAGTTTAAATGTTTTCATATAAATATTAAATTATATGTATATAGCTGAATTGCAAATTTGCACTTACCACTCAGTTTCACAAGGAAAATGTGGCTTTATTTTCCTTCACTGATTTATCCTCCCTCTGAGCCTGTGCTCTACTGAGGAACAAGGGGAAAACAAACTTGCCAATTAATACTGTCTCAAGTGCTTTCGTTAGATGGTGTCTTTTGGCCATTATTTTGTTTAAAGATGGAATTCTGTTTGTAGTCCCTCTCCTCAAATGGTATGTGTTGATGGGAGAGAGGGCCTGTGGCCCACACAGTTTCTCTGTATTTTTCTCTGCTCCTGTCTAAACCTGACCTATTATCTTCTGAATACCACTGGTCCCCTCTAGCCTTTGGGGACACTGTGCAGTTGTTTTCTTCTAGATTATTCCCTTCTGCCTAGGGCTCTACCTTTCATCACAGACCTGGCCATCCCTGGGATAATACCCCTATGGCCCCAGTTCACTGAACACAATACCAACCAATCTTGCAGACCCTTCTGGGGCTGTGGAAGAGGAAAAGGTCTCCAACACCATTGCTGTCCCATTTTCCATACTTCCCTCCCAGCTTGTAAAAGAAAAGGAGAAAATATTTTCCTGTTACAGCTGTACTCTTTTCTTACAGCCACAACTTGTTTCTACCAGCCAAAGCTGTTAAATGACCGTCAGCAAACAGCCACCACTATACCTCCAAAGCTGATAAACAGTGAGGAACTGTGAGTGACCCCAGTTCGTCAGACCGTTCCTGAACCTACCTTTCCTGATCAATGAGCAATGGATTTGCTCTAATCAGGCGTAGACAGACTGATGGACACATTTTGACTTTACCACTGTGAAAACTTTCAATCATGAATTAGCGTAAGTATCATGAACCTCCTCCTTCTCTGGTGCATAAAACATCCTGTCAGGTCCTCCTGGGAAAATGCCTTCAGAGCTGTCTGTTCTGCTGGGGACTCAAGTAAGCTCAGTTCTTGCTCTCGTTGGTTTTCTGTGAATGTCTAAACAGAGAAGTAAAGACTTGAACACGGGGGTCTTGCCCTCTTCTTGGGTCTTCAGGCTCCTCCGTTGAAGCGCTCTCTTTCATCGGGTAGGACATTCCCTGTGTTGTTGCTCCCAAGGGAACTATTCCTCTGTCCTAACAAGGTGGCAGGTTAGATGCTGGGTAGACTGGCTTTATAATTAAGACATATCTTGATATGTATTTTAAAATTATCACTCCTGCCAGACACGTATTATCAAAATGACACAGGAAATCCGGTAGAAAAAGTTGCAGTCCAGTATTTTGCTTATTAGCAAGACACGAATAACTGGAAACACAAAGTTCTTGCCATTTCCAGGACCTTTGTTCATTTAATTATAGCCCTTTCCCTATAAGATAGGCACTATTATCATCACCATCATTTTATAAGCGAAAAAAAGTTGAAGCACAGGGGCAACAGGGCAACTTTGTCCATGGTTGCAAGGTGAGCTGCATGAGCAGGGTTCAAGTCTTTGGTGCCTTGGATACTCACGGGCAACAGCTGTTATGTTTACTAAGGCTTAGTATGTCAGCATACTAAACCTAGAAAGTAGCCATCTTAAGGAGAAAGAAAAACTGCACAGAGTGAGGGCTTTCCAGGTACAAAATGCTTATGTCTGTAGTTCCTAATTTCATCTAAGATGAAAAGAATAGGAAACCGAATATGCCACATTCATCCAGCGAAGTGACTAGTTGTAAGGGGAGCTTTTGTCCGTGTTTCTTAAATTAAAAAAAAAAAAAAAGATAGCATTAGAGAGTAGACCTGGAAGTTGAGAAGACCAGTCTTTGATTCTCCATTAACAAAGGGCTCTTTCTAGCTATTCACACCTGATCACACAATGGAACCATTATTAGAACAACGTCGGGGAAGAGACCATCAATGTATTTTCTCCCTCTGCAGAAACCAGCCAGAGACAAGCATTTGCTATAAAATTATCTGGATTTAATCGCTATCAACATCAGAACCATAGTACATTAAAGTACAAAACTTTTATGTACAATTACATATACAAAAAAAATGTTCTTTGTGAGGAGCAATTTTAAGCAAATCTGACAAACAGCAAGAATCATTCCTATTTGAGGTTTGAAAGGGGGAAAAAATGGAAATTTCCAAGACACCTCCCTCCTCTCTCAGGCTCCAGTGACCCTCAGAACATCAATTTGCAAAGGCCTGAGGTAGGAAGGCAGGTATTAATAATATGAGGCACTCAGTCCCCCCTCTTACGGAGAGGGTGACGTTTTAGGAAACGTTTTCCATTATTTATTATACTGATATTCCACCCATCTGCATCATTAGGTTCAGTAGTTACCATGACAATGTGATGCCTACAGCAATCTAACTTGATAGCCAGATGTCAGAATGTGAAAAAAAAATAGGACCAGCTAAGAAAGTGAGAGAAATATAATTAGTCTGAACCACACAGAAAATGTGCACAAAAAAACTAGGACCAGGAGGAAAATTGCTGAGATGTCACTGAAAAGGGAATCACTGAAGGGCAGCAATACTCAAATTCAATGTAAAAACTTTGCTAACAAGAGCCGTAAGCTGGTCTTTAAACAAATCTAAGGAAGAAGTCCAAGTTATTCTGGGATGTTGCTCCAAGCCCCTGCTGTGTAGTCCAGTGGTGTCATCTTTGGTTCTCGCCATGGGGTTCCCAGGGTCCTCATTTTCTTCAGCCTCTCAAGCTTCCATTTCAAGTGCTGCCACCATGACCCTCAGCCACGGACATTGTTGCCTGTTTCTCTGCCTGATGAGATAATTCCTATCGCTCTAAAGCTGAGCTGAAGCTTGGACCAAGCTGTATCCAGGGAGATCCTGCCTCTGATCCCCAGGTACCCTCTGTGTGGCAAGGGTGAAAAGAACGCCGAGAAGCGGGAAGCAACAGAAAGCTGTGCTATGGGAGGTGTCCCAGGGTGGGTGGTCATTCCCCTGCTCCTGGGACAAATGATCATTCTCAGCATGGTTGGGTTGGATAGCGGCGCTGGGCTAGGTGGTTTGGCCGATTCAGGCTAGTAGCAGTGGGAAGCTGGAAAAGAAGAGGAGACACTACGCTAGAAAATGGCATCAAAAATGGCTCCACTTGGGGACTAGTGGGCTGAGCAAGGGCACCCCTTTTAGCTGCAGGTGGCTTCCTAACTCTGTACTCTAATGGCCAGCCTCCGCCTCTGAAAGATGGTGAAAGGGAGCTTGATTTTATAAAGAGCAAAGGCCAAGGACTAGAGCTGCTGAGTCAGGAGGAGGAGCAGAGGAGCAGAGACTGTGGCTGCTCTCAAAGTTTGAGGAACACCTTCACCCCAAGACAGAAGAAGGCACCCACACCAGAACATTAGCACTGTGTAGCTCATATCTCAGGATCAATTCCAGGTGAAGAGTGATGCTCAGATGTGTAATATTTCTTGAGCATTTTCTAGGTACCATATTGCATACATATTGTATTTGGGATGGCTACTCTTAGCTCCATCCTATGGTGTAGAAACAGGTGTAGGAACTCACATTCAGTGAGTAGAAAATTGGAACTGCATACCACCCGCCCTAATCTATAACCTGACCTCCTAGCTACCTCCCAAAAGGATGGTCCTTACCTGAGGGACCTGAGATGGGTTGTAGAGAGGAACAGCGCCTTGCAAGGTAGGTGGAGGAGGGAGAGCTCCGGGCTGGGAGTAGAACTCAGAAGAAACACCCTGTGGTTGCAAACAACAGAGAATCTGATACCTGGCTCCTTCCTGGTATGCTAAGCCCTTCCACAAGAATCCATTTTGACCAACAAAAGGACTTCTTTTTTTATTTATTTATTTATTTATTTATTTATTTATTTATTTATTTATTTATTTTTCTTATCAGTTACATTTTATTAACTCTGTATCCCAGCGTGTCCCGATCCCTCATTCCCTCCCAGTCCCTCCGTCCCTCCCTCATCTCCAACGTGCCCCTTGCCAAGTCCACTAATAGGGGGGACCTCCTCCCCATTCATCTGATCCTGTTTTATCAGGTATCTTCAGGACTGGCTGCAAAGCTCTCCTCTGTGGCCTAACAGGACTGCTCCTCCCTTGGGGGGTGGGGAGGCCAAAGAGCCAGTCATTGAGTTCCTGTTAGAAATAGTCCTTGTTCCCCTCACAATGGGAAACCAATTGGTTACTGAGCTACCACAGGCTACATCTGAGCAGAGGTTCTAGGTTACATTCATACATGGTCCTTGGTTGCATGTCAGTCTCAGAAAAGACCCTGTGCCCAGATATATTTGGTCCTTGTAGAGCTCCTATCCTTTCCTCATCAGACTAACTCCTCTTCTTTCTTACGATTCCCTGTACTCTGCCAAAGGACAAAAGGACTTCTTATAAAACTCAGGTGAACACAACCAATGCCAGGACCCAGGATGACCAGGCAGAGGCAGGAGATCTTACACCCAAAGAAAGTAAGGAGAAAAAGTCACAGTAAATTATAGCGAGTCATAAGAATCACTATCAAACTCTTCAGAAGGCCTCAAATGCTACAAGAGCACTCCAACCAGGCTTCAAGAAATGAAAACATTTCCCTAGCAATAGTCAGGAAATCCCTTGCTATATAGACAATTTGTGAAGAATTTATGGTAGTCCCAGCCAAGTACACGTGAGTGAACTCCACCTCCCACTAAGACAGGAGAAGAGGCCATTCCCTGAGCTTCAATTTAAACCACACAGGCTGAAGTGTGACCCTCCAAAATACAGATGCTAAGGGCCCAGTGTCTCAGCATGAAACAGAATCTTCAAAGTGTATGGGTACCCACCCAAGATGTATGATGTCCTTTCAAAAGGAAGAAAGTTAACTCAGACACATACAGAAGAAAGACCCAATGAAGACACAGGAGGAAGGCAGCCAGTTGCAAACCAAGGAGAGAGCCTCAGAAGGAATCAGATCAGCCAGCAATGTGGCCATGTATTTCTGTGCCCCAGATTTGTGAGGAACTATCTTCCATTGTCTAAGCTCTCCAGGCTGAGGCAGGCAACTGGAGCAAAGTCATGTAGAAGCTTTCTCCATATCCTGAAGTCATCCTTCACAGGCAAACCAGTCCTTACACACAAGTATCTTCTGGAGTCCTAGGCTCCAGCCCGTAGCCTGCTCACCTGTACCTCCGAGGACCCTCCAGTCCCAGCTCCTTCAGCTACTCCACTGTTGTTTGATGATCCCTGGGGACCAATCCCACCTAGAAGGCAAAGAATTAGAGAGCTGTTTCACATGCTCAGAAATGAGAAGTCCCCATGCCATGAGGGTACACCCAATCTAGGAGCATCAACAGGGCTACCCATGACCCAGGAGATGAGCAGTTGGCAGTACCTGTGCCTCTCGAGAAGGTGCTGGCACCTGGTAGAGATGGAGCCCCGTGAGGAGGTGTTGGTGAGAGGCCCTGGCCAGTATGGCCAGAAGGTGATGATCTAGGAGACTTCTGCTTAGTGGGAAAGAGGCGGGAAAGGTGACATCAGTGCTCAGAAAATTCATGCCAACTTCTGTGTGCTCTGGTATCCACAATGGTAATCTCCACATAGGCAATTCCCCACAAACACCATTTCCTTCTGTGAAGCCTCTGCTAAGAGTGCAGGTCAGCTTCCTGTTGCTGAGGCTCTGAAGTACAAATTCTTCATCTTTAATTTCTGATGCTTCTGCCCCCTCAACCCCTCTCTCGCTCTCACACTCTTCCATTCTCTGCCATGCGCGTGTATGTGTGTGTCTGGCATGTGGATGTGGGTGTTTTGTTTCATTTTGTTTTGTTTTTAATGAGGCCAAATTGTGTAGCCCAAGCTGACCTAGAACTGACAGCAATCCTCCTGCCTCAGCATCTCAAATACTGTGATTTCAGGTTGTGATTACACCATGTCTGACTTCCAAGACCTGTCTCATTCTGTCTTTGCCTTAAAAAAAACAAAACAACAACAAAAAAAAAAAAAACCTATTTCTTGTACTCTCCCAGCACAAAGCCTCTCTTTCCTTCAGCCCAAAGCAGAGTGTGGCGGTGGTGCTGTGATGTGTTTGGATTTCCTCTGGGGTCCACAGGCTGGGACTGTGGAGTCCATCTGTGGAGGTTACCTCGGAGTCAGAACTGCCTGAAGAGCCTTCATCTCCAGAGGTGGACATGCTGTTGGCGGGCTTTGATCGAAACCAGCTGAACCAGCCAAATCCAGATCTCTAAAGGGCAAGGGGAATTGTTAAGGCCAGTGAACTTGTTTCTCTCACCAGCTGTGAGAGTTGCCAGCCGGGCATGAGATGAGTGTGGAGGGCCCGGGGCTCTGGACTCTGCTCCACTGTTTGAAACAGGGATGAAAGGTGGTAAAGTACAGAAAAAGACCAAGTCCTCTACCTTTGAGTTCTCTTTCCCTTCCCCTGGCTTTCCTCTCTGCGAAGCATCTTGGTGAGATGGTTTGTCTTCTCCATCAGAAGACCTCTCCTCATCCTCTTTGGCTGACATGGTGGAATCCTCAGAAAACCTTTGAGCCCCGGGAACAGGTGGTGCCTGAGGTCATACAAAACAGCAGGGACTTCCATGGTGCTCGAGAGGTTGCAGAGCACAATGCCGTATGACCTCTCCCTCTGAAGAGCCCACCCTGCTGGGGAGGGAAGCAGGCATACCCACGAAAATGCCTGGTCATAGGAGAGGGACATGTCAGGACCCACCATCTCCATATTCTCCCTAAACTAGCAGGTTTGTCTGCCCTATAACCTCTCAAGCTCGCAGTCTCAGAACCAGGCCAAGACCTGAAGAACGAGCATGGAAGCTACTACTGGAGAGGAAAAGATTCTGAAGGCACCTCTGAAAGATCCTCTAACTCCAAAGCCAGAGAACTTAGCGGCCAGTGAATCTAACCTCAGACCCTATTTCCCAGCAGGTTCTCCCAAGAACTCGTACACCACAGGGGAGCCAAACATACCCACAGTCCCCTGACCACTGACTTTTCCTTACGATGGTGAAATACGTGTAGCATAAAGGTCACCGTAACCACATATAACACGATGGCACTAAGTATATCCACAATGCTATCCAGCCATCAGCAGTACCCAACCCCAGAATTTCTCAGCATCCCATCAGAAACACCATCCCCTCCACTCCCCATCCCCACACCCTGGCCACCTTCGCCCCATTCCATCACATCTCGTTGAGCTTGCCTACACCAGGTATCCTCATATGAGTGAGATAATGCAACAGATCGCTCTTTATATCGCATTCTCACTGTATACTCTCAACAGAGCATAATTCATAGTAATTTCTTTTAAACTTTGCAAAACACTACAGCAAAATACAGAGAGGGCTTCATTTTTCTCTGCGTTTGGGTATAATGTCTTCAGCATCCCAGGCACTGTTCTAAGCGCTTTCCATGTCGCAATCGACTAAAGCCTTGCCACAGCGCAGTGAGAGGTGGACTGTTACTGTCATCTGGTTTAAAATGTGAGAAAGCCGGTGTGTAGCAAGGCCCAGAGACACACAGCTAGCCAAATGCAGAGAAGGAATTCCAACCTGGCTTTCCACCTAAGAATTTCTTCTGACTCAGGAAGTCAGGATAGAGTCAAGAGCCTGTCCTGTAGGGTAGCCACTATCTGGGTTGTCTAAGAGTGAAAGAAAGGGAGGATGGGAAAGGTACAGAGAAAAGGAGGGAGGTCGGAAAGAAAAAGGCAGAGAAGAAAAGGCCTGTTCTTAAGTCCCGTCCCCCGTGTGCTTGGCTGTCTAACCCAGGAATCTTTCTTCATTAATCTATGTGTGTCCACTCAGGGCTCCCTCTGCAATGACACTGGTGCCCTTGTCACTTGGCTTGTGTCCTTTTGCACTCTGATCTCTGCTCAAAGATCTCCTCCGAGACATAGCCCTGAGTCACCCTCTCTACCCGAAGCACGGTGCTGTTCACATCCAGCCACCTCCACCAGGCAGCAGAGTGCAAGGGTGGCAGCGTCTGGCCACTGGCCCCGTCTAGCCCCACCACAGTGCCTGGCACACTGTACGAGCGTGGCAGACACTTGGGAAGGAATGGAGTACCTTCCCACAACGGATCTTGTCATACACTTCTAAGAACATACTTACGAATGATAAAAAAAAAAATCTTATATAGTGTTAAATAATATAGGATATATAAACACAACTGTTTTAACTATTGAAAAGCATATGTGTACATAAATTTATTAATATACATATATTTACATATATACACATACACAGAAAAAATAAGGAAAAAACCAAAATATTTACTGTGGAATTCTGATCAGTTTTTACTTGGTTCTTCTTTTTAATTTTTTCTATAACAATAATGTACTATTTTTTTCTGCAAAGTAAAAATATATATATTTTTTTTAATTCCATAACCCTGGGGCTGGAGAGATTGCTCCGTGGTTAAGAACACTGGCTGCTCTTCTCACAGAAGACCTGGGTTTGACTCCCAGCACCCACATGGTGATTCAAAAGTATCCAAAACTCCAGTTCCAGGAGGTCTAGTTCTTTCTTTTGACCTCTGAGGACACCAGCCATGCACATGGTACACAGACATACATGCAGGCAAAGCACATGTACACATAAAAATAAAGAAATATAAATGTAAAAAAAATATAGATAGATAGATATAGATATAGATATAGATATAGATATAGATATAGATATAGATATAGATATAGATATAGATATAGATATAGATATAGATATAGATATAGATATACACACACATAGCCTACTCCTGGCTCGAGAAAACTATATCATATAATGTAGTCAGTTAACCAGCGTGAAGCTACAGAACGTCTGGTTTGGCCTCAGAACTGAGAGCCGTGCAGTCTGTCAGCATCTAGGAAGAATGGCTGGATGGCTAGGAGAAGAGACGTAAGCACTTCCCACTCCTACCATAGAGATCTGACATAAACCAAGGCGGATGCTAAAATAAACATCAATAGTCTTCCTCAACATAGAAGAAAATGAAAAGAGAGAGAGAGAGAGAGAGAGAGATCCATCCACAAGCCACCTCCGCTGCACTGTCCCTCAGTAACACACACTGGGGACAGGTAGGAATAAGCATACGTGAGAACACAGCCTCCTTTCCAGTTCCCGAGGTTTCACGCGGAAAGAAACGAGGAGTGGCTTGCACACGGAAGAAGGGTCCCCCGGGTTGGGGAGGAGCCCGCGTGTGGCTGAGACGCCAGGGGGCAGACAGCAAAAGCGAATGTGTCACAGCAGTCACTGGCGTCCCCCTGCACCATCCACTCACCTGAGGACCGGAAATGACCTCTAGACCCTCAGGATTCTGTAGGGGTTCGTGAGCTGCCATGTTCTCTCCTGAAGCACCAAAGGAAAATGAAGACAGGGGCTTCAGTTTGTGCTCTTCCTATCCATGGTAAAGAAAACGAATGGGGACCCAGGCATCTAAGTGGCAAGAGTTTATTTGACAAGTAGGTCCACTTGCTTGGTTCCGCTCAATCTGTGCCACCCCGTGACACCTCCACCTGTTAAACACCAGGGTTGTCCCTTAGGGGTGTAGGGAACCACAGCAGCATGGAGCTCTGTCTCACAGAGTCTTCCCTACCTTCTTTCCACACATGTGTCTCTATCTTAGCCAAGGCTTTTTCTTAAAGAGCTGAGGTCTAATCCTTTTTGTGGTCCCCGGAATCTCCCTGGCATCATTCAACACTGTTCCCCCACATTTAACCTTCTTCTCCCCAAGGTCTGACAGGCCTGAAGAAATGTGGAACCAGACCAGAAACAGGGCCCCAGGTCCTGTCAATAATCTCTTGGATAGAGGATGACATTAAAAAGAGGCCTGCCGGACCACTGTGCATGAGATATATTTTTTGTCATGCTGCCTTGTAGCCTCTGCATTTCAAACTACGCTTTCGAAGGAGAAAGTGGAATGGTGATATCTGCCCTGTTCTGCTTGTCCCAGGAGAGAGGTGGGCTAGAAGAGAACATGCTCCTGCAGGCTAACAGGAGCATCCAAGAAGTGCATTCCCCATGTGCCTTTATCACTTCCAAGCCCACTTCTTCCAGCAGTGGGCTTGGAAGTGATAAAGTGGGGTGTCTTGGGACACCCCCTCCTTTGCTTCTTTGCCACCAAGACCCCACCCTCCAAGGTATCCAGACTGGCGGGCAGGTCTACCAAAAGCAGGATGTATTCGCAGCATTTCCTCTTCAACCCTTCCTCCAGGAGGCCCTGTCACTGCCACACTGCTGCTGCTGCTGCTGCCGCCGCTCGTCACTGATGAGGGGTTCACGGGAACGGAGTAAAGAGGCACTGGGGTTCCCATGGACCCCGAACCTTCTCTCTCTGAGTAGGTATCTCGCTGCTGTGGGAAAGGCTGCTGTGGGATGGGCTGGGGCAGGCCTGACTGCTCAGGTGTCGGCCACAGGGATGAGCTGTACCCAGGGTCCTCCGAGTAGCTTTGATATCCTGAAAGATCCTGATAGGGGGTGGCTAAGGAAGAAGAAGATGCAGCCGTTACAGACAAGTCCTTCTCAAGCATTCCTGCTCCTGTCCTCTCTAGAAAGCACCCCATGGCCTGGCTGCTTCATGTAGCTTCCACTGATGGCAAGCAAAGCACTGACTACAACAGCCCTCTCTGCTGTCTTCCAGATTGTTCTCGCTTCTTGGGTAATCTCTGAGCCCTTCTCTTTTGGGCTGAGAGGATAGAAATGGCATCCAATCGAACTCTACACCTTTCTAATGTTTGGATAAACACTTTCCCCTTTAAGGGGACTTCATTAGATTTTAAAAGCTTACAGTTAAAAACACAAATGACACTTGAGAGATTATGGCTTTGCTTGCAAAGAATAAAGGTTGATTTTCCCTGGAGGGGGCCTTGCTGATACCATCAGCTAAGGTATGGGTGTGTGAAATGCTTGACCCCAGGGCACAGGAAAGTTGTGAGCTGCCAGCCTTCAAGTTTCCAGGGCTGCAGAAACATCATCATAAAGAGATGCCAAGGCAGGCTCTCGCAAATCCAAGAAATGGAAGCCAAAGCCTCCCTACGCCCTGCACATCCAGAAAGGAAGTACAAACAGCTAGAACACCTGAGACAAGAACCCCTGTCAGAACTTCGCCACGGGGGGGGGGGGGGGGGGGGACTGCAGTGAACTACGTGGAGCTCATTTGGAATGTAACTCCTGCTAACCAGACACTTGGAGGCATTCTGAGGGAAGAGGGAGGAGGCTGAGAAAACACTTTGAAACGCATCTCATATCTGTTATATGGCCAACTGATAGCTCAAAATCTTCACACTTCCAACATCTAGAACACTAAAATAAAATGTACACTCTCTGGCCTCAAAAGATAGAGCAAGGTATGCACACAGGTGAAGCAATTAGCTAGCAATAAAAAACACGAAACAGTCTAATATTGGGAAAACCTGGCCTGCAAGGCAGAAACCCTCACAACTACAGGCATTTGGTGTGCGTTTGGGGTCTGTGAGAGCAGCAAGGGCCATCAAATATAGGCCAGCCTGGATCAACAGGTCTAATTTCCAGACACAGAAGGCAACAAGGAAGGGGAAGTATGACTGCAGCTGAAATACTTCAGTCAGATAACTGGTAGTCAGTTTTTTGTTGGGTACCTGTTGTTGCTCTGGCTCCATAAATATCTGAAGGAGTAGAATCAGGTACTCTGCTGCATCTTGCTCTAGTTTGCTGTTTAAAATAAAGAAAAAAATCCTTTTAAACAGTATAAAGAAGCCTGGCGAAGTGGCGAATGCCTGTAATCCCAGCACTCTGGGAGGCAGAGGCAGGCAGATCTCTGTGAGTTCGAGGCCAGCCTAGTTTACAGAGGGAGTCTGGGACAGCCAAGGCTATGCAGAGAAACCCTGTCTTGAAAAACAAAATAAAATAAAAACAGTATAAAAGAAAATAAGGACAGAAGACAAGATAGTGAAAAAATTAAACCAATAAGAAATGCCCCGAGGGAAGGAGCAGATAAGGGAACTTCCACTGAATGCCTAGTGCCCAGAATCTCACAGATGAGAGTGGGTCTCCCAGTTCTGTTTGGAACCAGAAAAGCAACAGCTAGTGTCACCATCCTCCCCAGAGTGAGGGGCCAAAGGAAGAAAGTAAACTGTGGGCCTCAGAGTTTGCTATCCAGAGGAGGAGAAAAGGCAGTGAGTATTTAAAAGTCCGCTTTGTCCTGCCTTCACAGCAGAGTAGAAGAAAGAAAATGGGGGAGGCCCTGCTCCAATTACTCTTCTGATTATGACCAGCAGCTTTTGCAATTGTCAGAACAAAAAGGAAAGGCCCGGAAGTCTTTTAAGCAATGGCCTACATTACATGAAAGTGACACAGGTCCACTGTGATCCATTGTTCCTCACAGAGATGGGGGAGCTTTGATGGTCATGAAACATTCTCTGGGACCTCAGAGAAAGGGTGGCAAGAGTGGCTGAGACGAGCACCCCCCTGTGGCAAAACACAGGGAAATGTTTGCACAAGGCAAAGAAAAGAAGCAGGGAGCAAACTGTCCTGAATCCCAACATTCGGGGACACAGGCCATAGAGGAACTGGGCACCTCTCTTTCCAGCCTAGCCTGGGAATGAAAAGGAAAACACTGGGTACCCAGGGACCCTGGCATCTCTTACCTCCAGCTCCTTGTGCTTCCTCCGCAGTTGCACTAACCAATGTGGTTCCAGGTCCCTGTCCCCACCGCGTCTTTCTAAAACCAGAGGATCTGACAGCTTCAATTTCTCTGCAAGCTGAACAGAGTTTCAGGGTGGGTCAGGGGTAGAAAGTGAGAAAGGATAAGAAGAAAGAGAAATTGGGGCATGTGGAAAGACAACAGGAGAGAGAGGCAATAAGAAGTGGGGAGAAGGAGCCATAATTCATTCATACATCCTATTACAAAGAATTGAGAAACAACAAATTCAGCAGATCTACTCCCAAAACTTCAGCAACCCATTTGGGCATTATTTTCCCCCCAAATATGGGGTGAGGGGAATACTTCTTTTGGTTTGTGGCTCTGCAAAGCTGTCTTCTCTGCAAGAAGTTTCTAGAATGCAAGGTAACTCCAGGACCTGGTTAATGCTGATTCCTGTATGGGCTGGGACTCAGATCTACATTGCTAACAACCTTCGATGCTTTCTGCTTCAAGTTGCCATTCGCTCTGTATTGGAAACTTCAGTCACCCATCCTGAGCTTCGGCCCACTAGCAGAAATGTCATAGTATGTCGGGTCTCCGCAGCACAGATTTTATTGGTTATAGAATCCAACACTTGGACTTCATGTAGAGCAATACACAAACTGAAGAGCTTGATGCTTTTTACTCTCTAGCTAATGGAGTCTTTTCCTCAATTAATTGGAACAAAACTGTTTGCCTGATTGTTGTTTTCTTCCCAAGGAACTAAGGGTTGGTATGTTTTTGTTTTCTTTTTTAAATGTGCCCCACACATGATAAAATATTCCATGCATTCAAAGGTATTTTAATAAGGATCATTTCCTGTTTTAATCACTAAAATCTATTTTCAAAGGCCCGCTTTTGTAGTTAGAACAGCTCACCGTGGCTTGAGGTTTGACTGTACCAGGAAAGCAGACACGTGGAACTTCTCAAGCAGAACATGTCTGCTCTCCGGTCTCTCGACCCCTCTGCCCCCTGCCCAGCCAGTTGTTCTTTGTGCAGGCAGGCCTCTCCTTATCACATTGGGACATGCATACATGGTCAAAGACAGCTGTAGGCTCCAATTTTGCAGCATGTTCAAAGAAGATGAAATGTGGCGTCTAAGCCTCTCTACAATGGCTTCTCTGAACACTGAAGATAAAACACCTATAGAGACCCCTTTGAGATACTCACCTTGATGAGCTCCGCTAATAGCACGGGGTGACTGCTCCCTCCCTGGCTCAGGACAGCCGCACCAATGGCTTCACAGTAATGCAAGGCCTGGGATGCCAGGCCATAATCTGCCAGACGGGAGGCATAAAGGAGCTTATACACCTGTGAAGAGGAACGGAGCCAGTGATGAGCCCATCCAGGCAGGAGAGAGGGAGAGAAATGTAGATAAGACTTCTTGGAAGTCAGCTGACTGCCAGCTTCCACTCACTCTGGCATCCAAATAGCAAGGGCCCTGTGCCATTTGGGGCAATTTATCTGTATGTGGGCACAACTCCAAATCCGGCCTACATACAGTTCCTGCATCATGGAGGAAGGAGGTGGGTGAATTGCATCAGCTCATCTTCCCAGACCCAAGCCTCCACTGGAAAAGCAGCCCTTTTATCCAACAGCCCACCTCACAGAAAGCCAGAGCATGTGAAATGTTGCCCCAGGCACAAGGGCCCACATGAAGATACAAAACTAGACCCTTTGCAAAGGCTGTGAAGCCCACAGGGAAGTACAGACAAGTGCGGAGGGGCTTTCCTAGAAGGAGTTATAGGATGAGATCAAATATGATGGCTCGGTGTCAAACAAAACCAGGCCAGTCCAAGAGGAACATTTGGGCTAGTTCCTTCTCTCTAGCCTCAGCTTCCCCATTATAGCTGGACAATACCACCCAGTCCATGGAATCTATAAAGATAAAATTAGATGATTCGCACAAAGTCCTTGGAACAAACGGTGTGCACAGTGAGCCGGTGACATGTAACCAAATCCTTCCAACCTCAGGTACCTCCTTTGTGAAAACCCCACAGGATTAGAGGTACTGTTCCAGAAGAACCATAGTGCAATGCTGAGCATGTGAAACAGTCACAAAGAATAGCCATCCCATGACTATCAGCCCAGAATAATGTCCACAAAATGCATGGGTGGGATGAATAAAGGGAGAAAAGAAAAAGAAAACACCATAGTGTTTTACCTATGCAGGAACTATGTGGAGGAGCAGTTAGGCAAGGCAAAACTCTCAAAGAAGAGAGGTTAAATGGGCCAATTACTGATAATACAGTGATTCGTTCCCAAGGTTGTGTGTGTTTCGTGTTGTGTGTGTACTGCTACTGCAGCTGCGTGGCTCTCAACCGCAGGCACTGGAGAACATCCACCCAGTCATTAGAAACGGTCTCGGACCTGAAGAAGATACTCAAGGCAGAGAAGAAAGGTGCCTGCCCACAGAAAGGAAGATACAGAGCAGTGTCGAGTAAATGTGAGCTGGGGGCCTTGGAGCCAGCGCTGTGGCTGGAATGGCCTCAGCACAGAAACAAACCACCTCGGTTTTATGCCCATTTACTGCACAGACTGCGCTGAAGTTCACATCCGCACCATCAAGAGAGAAAAGGCTACAAGGTACCAGGTCTCAAAACACATGGACGAGGGTGCAATGCCAGCATCGGACACTATGGACATAAGGTAGCAACGGGGTGCCAAACAGAGGCTGAGAGGAGAGAGCAGAGCCTCGCGGCTGTCGCTTGCACAGCTGAAGCCCTGAGCGGGCAGACAGAGTTGGTGGGCCAGGACAGAGCAACAGGGAAGCTACTGAGAAAAGAGGGGTGGTCAGAAGGAGGGGAGAAGCTGAGCAGTCAGCGGGACAGGATGACTGTGGGAGCAGAGGAGGAGATGGGAAGAACCGCTGGGAGAGATCAGCCCCAAGGCAACCGAAGCAAAGGAAGGCAGGGGCGGAACTGCAGCAAGGGAGCGAGACAAGACCCTCCAGCAGAGACCTCTAACCGGCTCTGCTTTCATACCGTAAAATTGCGACCTTCCGGGAACAGGAAAAGAAACCCGGAGCCTTCCCACCCTCCCGCTAATGAGGAGAAATGCAAGAGATGACTTGCCCAGTGGTACCAGGTGCCAAACAGCAAGACTGCCCACAACATGGCCACAGCTGAGCTGACGGGCCCCTCCGGGTTCAGTTACCTGGAAAGAAGGAATGAAGGATTTGGGGCGGCCCAGCATCTGGCAGTACTCGAAGATTTCCGTCCTCTGGATAGCCTCGATTGTTGCAAATTTCAAAAACTCTTGACTGAAACCAGGGAATAACAAGAACAGAGGTGAATTGGGCATGCTACTCGTAGGCAGCCCCGTGAGAGGAAAGAGACGGTGGGCCCAAGGCACTTCCTCCTTGCCCTCCATCCTCTAGGGCTTGGGCAACAAACGAAAGGTTCCGACGGTTCTAGAAGAGCCTGCATGCGGGAAGGAGGCTCTGCACCGTCCTGAAGGGAAGACAGGACACTGCAGCTCATCCTGAAAACTAGCCTTCGGCCCTACATGCCTGGAGTGCCCCAGGAAAGGCAGATCAGCCTGAGCATGCCAAGTGCAAAAGCGGAAGCCGTAGAGTCCAGGAGCGACACAGATAGCCTGGCAGCAAGTGGGGAGGACAACTGAGCCAGAAAGAAATGATGGGTCTTCTACGGGAAGTTCATTCAGCCAATGCGGAAGAAAACCAGCTGAATGTGATCTGGTAAGGGCAGGTGGGGCGGAGGGAAGAGGCAGGGGGACATACACAGATCCTCCATGAGTCCCTCACATACACACACACTTTCCCAGTCCCTCCCACCCCACACACACACACACCTTGCCAGGGGCCCAATATCCCAGTCAGCAGAATATTTCCAGAAGCTAACATATCTCCAGAAATTTCCCCAGGATTCATAAACGTGGGAGAGGAGGCCTGTTAACCCAGGTACTGTTGTGGTCATGTTTGGCCCAGATAGGCTTCCTTGAGAAGATGGTTATGCTGTCTGAGCCCAGGCTCTCTAGAGAGGGGTCCATGAGGCTGGGCACATGGCTACAGTGGCAGAGGGCTGGGAACATCAGCTACAAGCTTGGCTCCTGTCTACACCTCTTGACTGCTAGGAGCACAGTACCACAACTGCTCAGAGGCCGTAACTATTAAGGAGAAGAGGATATAAAGATCCAGAACAGTGAGGGCCACCCAGGGCTAACATATCCGCTTCAGCTCGCTCCTTCTCCAGGGCTCTGGGGTTTTTCAGAATAAAAATTCTCAACTGTGGCCTATGGGGCAGGCTCCAAGGAGCTTGTGAGCCAAATTAATGTAGTGAAGTACTATGGAGGCCCCAAAAAGTAGGCTCTCCGAACAGGCCCAGAGCTGCCCAAAAGAAACTACTTGTAAACTTCCTTTTTGTCATTTTTCTGCCTCTACGATCTCTGGTTGTGGAGCTAGGCTGCCACCCAGTGGCCAGGAGGGTACAATACACACCAAAAGCCTTCTGGTAGTGTGATGTAACACCCTCTGACCTCCTTGTCTAGACCCATGCAGAAGATACAGAGGAGGGGCTAGCGGTAGCTGAAATTTACACAGGAAATCAATAGTGAAGCTATGAAACCCAGCAGGGGCTAAAACAATCCATGGAAAACATCTTTGCCATATCCTTTCCATGCAAAAGTCCCATACCTGTGATTACTGCCCACCAAGATCAAATGGTCTGTCTTCACCGTGTAGTGGCCAAAGGGTACGGGGGCCATGAGATAGCAGAAGTGAGCTGCTTCCACAAGCCCTTTCCCAGCTGCAGGAGGAGAACAAGAGCCCAGCCATGAGACACACCCTGTGGGACCCACCATCCGAATAAAACAGTGAGAGATAAAGAATGAGCTCCAGGGTCAGAGGGCGGGAACCTGGTGAGAATAAACCAGGCGAGTTCTCCCGGCACCTTCCTCTCACTCCCTCCCACCTCAGCTTTTTTTGACCTCGGGTTCTGCACTTCAATTCTCATCAGCCACAGTGCAATGCTATTTCACATTCCCCTGATGGATTTTTCATTGGGAATTTTCTAAAAGTCATGGTCCTTCCTGAGGCTGCGAAGCGATAAGAGGTGCCTGGACCGAAGGAAAGTGAGACATGGTGAAATGAATTTAACACGTCTGCATGCCGCACAGCAGCTTCCTCTGCTGAAGCTGGATGGTCGGAGGCTTTTCCTGGGCTCCTAGAAATCACATCAATTACCAAGTTGTTCTTGATTTTTTAAATGTTCTCGGTACATTTTCCACTGCCTTCAAGTTGAATTGAGCGGATGTGATGGTTAATCTTCATTGTCAGCTTGAAGAGAATAATTTAGGGGCTATACCCCTCTGGGTGTGCCCTTCAGGGTGTCCCCAGACAGGTTTAACAGAGTGGGGAGGACCTGCTTGGAATGGGGTCAGGGGCACTATTCTCTAGGCTAGAATCCAGGAGGGTAGGAGGAAGAAGCAAGCTGAGCCCCATCACTCATCTCTGCCTCCTGACAGCAAATACCAGGCCCTCTAGTCACATCACACTCCTAAACTGTGTTCCCTGTAACTGTGAGCCAAACGAACCCTCCCTTGCTTAAGCTGGCTTTGTCAGCTTTTTTGTCGCATTAGTGAGAAAGTGGCTGATCCAGTGGGTAAACACGGACCCCCTTTTCACCGGGCAGCCGGGTGACAGCCATCACTTATAGTCTTATTTACGGCTGCTTCAAATTCAGAAGAGCAGATGTTCACAGGGTTCCACAAAGAACGCCATGGTTTCTAAAAGTTATGCCCGGACCAAATGTGTGAAGCAGTGATCAGGAATATCCGACAGCCGTTAAGTGCTTGTGTTCACAGACGGATAATAGAAAAAACAACAGCAAGACACCAAGATAGTTTAGGCAAAAATAGCACTTTCCATCTGATCATACTGGGCCACTGAAGGCCACAAGGCAACAGAAAGCGACATGTCCCTGCATTAGTTCTAGGTAAAGGAGCCGCACCTGTGACTAGAGAATGAAGAGGAGGCTATTCAGCAATGACAAACAACAAATCTCCCAGCGGGGAAGGATTCTGGGAAATAGATGTGGGTAAAACAAACAAACAAAGCCAGCAAAGGGAATTCTGGGAAACAGAACTGCAGGATCCATATGCTTTTCTCTGGAACTTCCTAACCAGAAAGACAGATCCTCCAGAGCCTAAGATGGCCCAGGCCATGAACTGGCTCTCCACCAAGTATGAGACTCTAATGTCAGGCTCTGAAAGTTGGCCTGGAGGTGCCCTAGGGAAGGCATAATGCTAATTTCTGCTTACCCAGGGTATCCCCCATGTTGACAATCGCTCGCTGATACAACTCTTTGTCCCCAGCCTGATTTGACAGGATCACAGCCAAGTGGGGTCTCCAGTCTCCCCACTGTTTGTCTCCACAACACTGAAAAATAATAACAATTCAGAGAGTCATTTAGCACAGCCCAGGATGTGGGTAAAGAAGATTACTGTTTATGTTTGGGCGTGGAGTTGAGAGAATGTCTGCTATACTATCGGTGCTGCTACTCGTTGTGTGTGATGCTGTTACGCATTGATTCAGGTTCTCTGTGTGGAGCGGCAGGCGTGTGGCACCGAGCAAGCTGGTAGTGCACACCGGTAAACCTAGCACTCAAGAGGCTGAGTACACATCGTGAGTTTGAGACCTGCTTGGACCACAATATGAGACCCTGTCTCAAAACAAACAAAAAAAAAAAAAAAGACGGAAAATCAAATATATGCACACACATACACACATAGAGATACATATACACACAGACACACACAAACATATACACACAGATATACAGAGACATACACAAACACACACAGAGACACACAGACACACATTATACAACACAGAGAGACATACAAACACAGAAAGACACAAAGAATAAAGGCACTCCACTTAAAAAATGGAGAACAGAGCTAAACAGAGAATTCTCTGTAGAGGAATATCGAATGGCAGAGAAACACTTAAAGAAATGCTCAACCTCATTAGCCATTAGGGAAATGCAAATCAAAACGACCCTGAGATTTCACCTTACACCCATCAGAATGCCAAGATCAAAAACTCAAGTGACAACACATGCTGGAGAGGTTGTGGAGAAAGGGGAGCCCTTCTCCACTGCTGGTGGGAATGTAAACTTGTACAACCACTCTGGAAATCAATCTGGCGCTTTCTCAAGATCCAGCCATACCACTCCTAGGCATATATCCAAAAGAGGCTCAAGTACACAAAAAGGACATTTGCTCAACCATGTTTGTAGCAGCTTTATTTGGAATAGCCAGAAGCTGGAAACAGCCCAGATGTTCCTCAACTGAAGAATGGATGCAGAAACTGTGGTACATCTATACAATGGAATATTACTCAGCAATGAAAAATAAGGAAATCATGAAATTTGCAGGTAAATGGTGGGACCTGGAAAGGATCATCCTGAGTGAGTTGTCCCAGAAGCAAAAAGACACACATGGTATATATTCACTCATATAAACATACAACATAGAATAAACCCACTAAAATCTGTACATCTAAACAAACTAAGCAAAAGAGAGGACCCTAACTAAAATATTCAATCCCCATCCTGAAAGGCAAAGAGGATGGACATCAGAAGAAAAAGAAAACAGGAAACAACCTCGGAACCTGCTACAGAGGGCCTCTGAAAGCCAGAAGAAGAAAACAAGAAACAAACTAGGAACCTACCACAGAGGGCCTCTGAAAGCCTCTGCCGTGCAGACTGTCAAAGCAGATGCTGAGCCTGATGGCCAACTGTCGGGCAGAGTGAATGGAATTTTAGGTAAGAAGTGGGAAATAGTAAGATCTGGAGAGGACAGGAACTCCACAAGGAAAGCAACAGAACAAGAAAATTTGAACACAGGAAACTTCCCAGAGACTCATACTCCAACCAAGGACTATTCATGGAGATAACCTAGAACCCTGACAATGCAGCCACTTCTGATGAGAACTGATAGACTAAGATCAGAAAGAAGGAGAGAAGGACCTCCCCTATCAGTGGACTTGGGGAGGGGCATGCATGCAGAAAGGGGGGGAGAGGGTGGGACTAGGAGGGGAGGAGAGAGGGGCTTATGGGGGATACAAAATGAATAAAGTGTAATTAATAAAAGTTGAATAAAAAATTTTTAAAAAAAGAATAAAGGCACATACAGAGACACACACATATACACACAGACACACAAACATGCACACACTCATGGTCACAAGTATGTTGAATGATAAATAACATGAGATTATTAACTTACTAATTTTCAAGGTTCTTCCCTGTGCCTTCACTTCAAATATCTAGAGACAATGTTCTTATGCCCTCAAAAAACTTTTCTCACTAAAAGCTTGATCGCCCTTTCCTCATGAGTAGAGAAGGCCATGCTAACCCATCATGTAAGTCAGGGACTCTTGGTTACCCAGCATCTTACAAGGCCCTTCCACACATGGCAACCTTCATGATGCTGCTGTGAAATGTACTTCCTATTACCACTTAAGGAATGAGTCTCCCTCTCCACCCAATCCCTGGTGACAGTGACATGGCCACGGACCCTGTCAGGCTGCAGGAGAAAGCCAGCAGACCTGTAGAATGGCGGAGCAGCCCCACACAAATGCAGCTCTCCCCATATTCAGATTTCATGTCTTTGTTCCATTTACAGTTAGTTCCTGTGTACGGTGCTAGACACTGGTCTAACTTCATTCTTCTGCATGTGGACCTCCAGTTTTCTCAGCATCATTTGTTGGAGATACTTTCTTTTCTCCAGCTTATGTTTTGGGCATTTGTGTCCAATATTAAATGGCTGTAGTTACATGCACTCATGTTTGGGTCTTTGGTTTTCTTTCATTCCATGTCTGTTCTTGTAATGATATCATATTCTTATTATTACTGTGGCTCTTTAATATCTTAATATCTGAAGAGGTGACCCCTCCAACATGGTTCTTTTTGCACAGATTGCTTTGGCCATCTGGGGTCCTTTGTGTTTCTGTATGAAATTTTAAAATGGTGTTTTCTGTTTTTGCAAAAAATGAGAAAGGGATTTTGATATGTGTTGAATTGAAATGTAAATAACTTTCGGTAAATCACTCCTTTTCATAATATTAATTTTATCAATCCATGAACATGGACTGTACTTCCATTTTAATGTCTCTTTCTTCAGAGGTTTTAAGTTTTCATTATATGGGTCCTTCACCTTCCTGATTAGATTTATTTCTAGATATTTTCTTTTCTTTGAGGCTATTATGAACGGGGTGTGTTCACAATCTATTTCCTTTATACATGTTGGTAGTATATAGAAAAGCTACTGATTTATACAAGTTGCTCCTTTATCCTGCCACATTGCTAAGCTTGCCATCTCTAGAAGGGCCCTGATAGAATTTTTGGGATCTCTTGACTAATATGTTATCTACAAATATGGGTAGGTTCTCCCCACTTAGGATGATTGTTGGCTGCGGGTTTCTCATATGTAGTTTTTATTGTGTTGAGATATGTTCTCTCTAGTCCTACTCTCCAGGACTTTCAGCATGAAGGCATGGTAAGGCTTATCAAAAGCTTTTTCTCCATCTATTGAGATGACCTTGTGATTTTTCTCTTTAAGCCCATTTCTGTGGTTTATTCCATTAACTGACTTGCATATGTTGAGCCCCACCCTACACCACCGTCCTCAGAGAAGAACCTCATGGGGAAAAGAATCGATGAAGAAGCAGCACAATGTGATAAATTCTACAAAGGGCTGGATTCACCCCAAGACCTGCCTCATGCTAGCAGTGGGAGCCTGAGCAAGTCTTTAATTTCATTGAACCTTTGCTTCCTCATCTCTAGAATAGAGATCATCATTTCTGCCTGACAAGACTCCTAGTGACAATAAAACAAGACAGTTATATAGAGCATATAACACAGTTCTTCACACTTGGCTTTCACTTTATAAATTCACAATAGGCATGAACATACATGTGTGTGTACACACTTACAAACACACGGAAAATTCAATAGAGGAAAGAGGTGATTTGAGAACAGTCTAAACTAGTCCTGTTACATAGATAAAAAGAGAGAAAAACTGACAGTAATTACTAACATTTACAATTCAGAACTATTTATAATTATTTAGTGTTTATAATCATCACAAGGAATTAAGGATATTTTATCCAACTCCATGTGATACTTGTTCCCTACCTATTTCAACAGCACAGCATAGATATATATCATGATGTGGTCATAAGAAGCCAGCTTGGTAAAAGCAATTTTAATTTATGACAGTGGCTTAGACCATAAACCACACCCTTGGCTAAACATTTCTCCTGCCAATAATTGCATACTCCAAGGACATTGTTACTCTCACTTAAACATATAAGCTAGGCCTCTTCTTGCCAGATCTTCAAGAACAAAACAGAAGAGAAACTCTTTCAAAAAAAAAAATCTTGGTAGTCACCATCTGTCTCCTCCCTGGTTTGGCACAAGGCAAGGATAGTGTAAACCCAATTGTGTGCGTGTGTGCGTGTGTGCGTGCGTGCGTGCGTGCGTGTGTGTGTGTGTGTGTGTGTGTGTGTGTCAGAGAGAGAGAGAGATATCATTAAGTGATTACCTTGATGGGATAGGCATGCAAGCATGGTAGCATGGGTTCAGACAGCCTTGCCCATAATTCTATTGGTTGGCCATCAAAATCTCCACAAAGAGAAAAACTATGATGTTAAACAGTAGCCAAGTTTGCCTCGTAGTAATGAGCAAAGTCAAGCTTAAGCCTGGGATGAAACCCACATCTGTGCATTCAATGGCCATGCTTCTCCCATGACACGACCCATGCAGCAGAAGGTAGCCTTGTACTCAGTGTGAAGGGCTAGGAAGTTCTCACACTCTGAGATCAAATTCTGAGCTGGCATATCGCCTGCAGAGCCTTCGCTCTCTCATCTAAGAACAGGGGAAATTAGCCAACTCTGCCTCGTCACTGAGGCCCAATGGACCACAGGCTGATTATATCACTTCCTCCATTAGGTGCTTCATGACATGATGCAATTTTATCGCAGTGCTGAAACTTCCGTTCAGCTGAATTGTGAAGCATACCCTGTATTCCAAAATAGCCCATTGGTTTAATGATGGGGAGTGGAGAGCATCATTTCTCTTTGCTTTGCTTTCCTTAGAATTATTCACAGTAACAAGAAGGTCAACATGAAAGAAATGAGAAATTCATTTTCATTAAAACCAGTTGCTAGCAAAGACTCAAGTGTCAAGAAAAAGTAGTAGAGATTGAATAGAGATGCACTGAGCAGGCACAGAGGTAATGAAACAATACTTCTATGAAGAAAGAACATCAAGCGAGCAAAAAGGAGCTCAGGAAAGAGATGGCACCAAACAGGAAGAAACAAATGTGACCTGCTCAGGAGCTCAGGAAAGGAATGGGTAAAACATTAAAGAAAAAAAAGATGAAGATGTTAGAACAAAAGAGCAAGAGACACTGGGGAAAACACAGTGAAGGACAGAGGGTGGAGGCAAGAAAAGAAAAAGAAAGGCAGGAGTGGGCAAAGGGAAGAATGAGGAGGAAGAAAACAAAAGTACTTTTAATTTAGGGGGAAAAAAGTAAAAGTCGGTATGGTGGCACATGCTTGGAATCCTAGCACTTGGGAGATCACAATGGGAAGACAGGAGTTCAAGATTATCCTTAGCTACAGAATGAGTTTGAGGCCAACCTGGGTCTCAAATAGGAGATAAATATATTTCTATAATTCATATGTTTATACATAGTTTATACATCTGAAATACATGTACACGGAATTCCTGGAAACGAAACCAAAATAAACAGTGAAAGATATAACCCAAGAAAATGTTCCTGAAGTCTAAGATATGAACGTGCACATTCAAAAGGCAGTCTCTATGCTGCACTTGCAGAAAAATAAAAGTAAAAAACAGACCCAGACCGTCAATGCCAAAACACATGTTAGTAAAGCTATTGGATAAGAAAAAAATACATTGGGGCAAAAAGATTGGGTCTGTTAGAGTGAGGAGCTCCTAAGCAGGCCTCCACCTTCTCCTCAGCCATATTCTCTCCCAAAAGCCAGAAGCCTAACATGTCCACCTCTGGAGAATTGATGTGCGAAGGGGGAGCTTTCCACCAGGGACCAGAAGGGCTGCCCGGCTGTGGGAAGTCTGAAAAACAACAGCTTTTGTACAATCAGTTACTTGTGGAAGGGGCAAGGTCTTTAGAACCAGACAGACCTGAGCCTAGCCACTCTTCACTACCTCCACGACTGAGCCCTTTTATATCTTGGCCCTTCTGTTTCCATGTCTGCAAAGCAGGGGTACTAACTCCTATCTCCAGGCACAAAATTAAATACTGTGTATCAAATCATATATGGGTCAAGCACTTTGTAGATAATTAACAAACTGTTATTCATGCTTCATCTTGAAAGGTATCACTACCTTCCCAACACCCAACTCCCAACCCTTAGGACTCCAGAGTATAGAGGGAAGCCTGTCACAGAGAGTACCGTGGATGCTTTTGGGATCCTTCCCGACATGAGCTGGAAAAGGGTCTGCAGGGGGTCGTTGAGTGCCAGTGTACTGGTGAAGCTGTGAGAAGAAAGGAGAATCAGTGGGGACTGATCCCAGAGGGAACCCATCACCAGCCAACGGGCCTGAATACTCCCCTTGAGGGGAGCTTTGGTATTGAAATGCAGGCTTCTCTCTGCCCTGCTGTCCCTTGTGGCCTTTTAGGGAGGATCAACGATAGCTTTACCTCATCACACACCCGGAGTAGCCTTCATTGTTCAAAGATGTTTTCTGCATTTCCCCCCTAATGCCTTAATTCTTGGGTAGTCGCCTTCTACTGGTGAACTGGCCACCCACGTCTCCAGGTTGTCTGGGTTGCCCAGCAGCAAAACTGAGAGCTCTTGTCCCTGGGCCCCTCCTTCCCACCTACCCTCAGTTCCTTCTCACCAAACCCATCCCACGAAGCATCATTTTTCTGCCTCATCTCCAGCCTGGGTCTGTAGAGTTTTGACTCACAAGCACCGAATAGCCATTTTCAATAACCAAAGAGGCGTGGAAGAGGGACCAGTAATGATCCTGCTGATGACAAACTGTGAGATATGCTTAACAAGGCTATAATAAGCTCTACAGCTGATTTGAGATTTAAGCATACTCAGTAAGAGATATTTTTCACAATTCACTGGGCCCCATCAAAACTCAATGGCCCGAGGCAAAAACCTGCCGCAGAGATGTATGCTACAATGAGGGGATGGGGGGAGTTCATTTCCAAAACCCAAAGAGGAAATTGTCCCTCAGATCACCATCCTCTGCTTAATGGCACCCTTGCCACGGGAGCTCAGTACACTCAGCCCGCCCACCACTCCAGCCGAAGGCCATCATGGAGGGAAGGCTGCATTGCTCATCCCTGGGAAGATGGAGTTGAAGTAATGGTCTCATTGAAACCATTATGAAGAACAGACCACTGGGCAGTGTGGCAGCCAATGGGAGCAAAGACAGAACTTAAAATGGAGTTTACGGGCTTCTCATGCAACTCTCTGCCCAAAAGGATTGGTGGCCACTTCGACCTAAGCTAAGCTGACAGAGTTGCTGCACACCATCAGCCAGCTCTAGAAGATAAGCATGCACACATGGCACCTTTCTCACACCCTGACCCACACCTGCTGCTACAGGAGACCTCCGCCTCACTCCCGCCACCTATGACGCGCACAGGAGTGTTGAGGACTCATACGGAGACGCTTCCACAGTGCCCACATCAACCCAACACCTCCTCTTCACACTGACTCCCCGCTGCTGTACCTCATCCCACTTACTCCAGCTGCCGGCTACGTGCCCTGCTTCTATCCCTGTCTCTTCTGGCTTGGTCATCCTTCCTGGTCTATCAGGGCGCTGGATTCACTGTCAGGTATGGCTTCTTTCTTATTAAGCACACTTCTCACCACATTCCCAGCCCAATCAATGCCTTTTCTACAATGGTTTATGGTTCTACTGGCTCATGTCCCTACCAGCCTCTCAGTAGGCACAGCTCAGTGCAAGACCAAGTCCTGGACCCTTTCTTAAATCAAAACTCCTTAGCCTTCAGGATCTCCAGCCACACTTAAGTGACCACCTACCCCTCTTTCACTAATGAAACTCTCTGAAATCAGCCCCTCCCACAGAGGACAGTTGTTGGTGCAGAATTTTCTGAATTCTTGGAAACACTGACCCTGGGGAATATTGCGAAAATGTTTCGTTCCATTTAAATGGGTTAAAAGAATGCTTCTTTGCCTAAGTTATAAGAATCCAGGGCCAATAAGATTGCTTAGCAGCTAAAGCACTCTCACGGCCAAGCTTGATGTAGACGCCATGGATCTGCATGATGGAAGAAGACAACTGACTCCCCCACAGTGTCCACTGGCCTTCATATATGCTCCATGGCACATGTGTGTGCACACACATACACAGAGAGAGAGAGAGAGAGAGAGAGAGAGAGAGAGAGAGAGAGATGATAAATAAATGTATAAAAATGAAGAAGCTTAAGAACTGAGCATGAAGGTAGTATGCTTATAATCCCAGTACTCAGGAGGCTGAGGACAAGGAGAATGAGAAGGAAGGAGAGAGGAAGGAGAGGAGAGGAAAGGACAGGAGAGGAGAGAACAGGAGAGGAGAGAAGGAAGGGGTCAGGAGGGGAGGGAAGGAGAGAAAGAGGAGGAGAGGAGAATCAGAAAATGGGAAACGCTACACTCATCTCAATGAAGAGAACTTGGGCAGCTGTGTGGGAACTTCTCAATGCTTTTTTTTTTTTTTTTTTACTTCTCCCCTACACACACACACACACACACACACACATCCCTTTGGAAGAGAGGTTTCTCTGTTTTTCTGGTCTTTGTAAGCTAGACTTAACTTACCCACTCACGACCCAATTATAGGTCCTTGGGTCCATCGTACTGGCTAGGAACAAGGCATGGCCCCACAGGTGGTTCTTCATAGCCCACTCTAAAGCCTCCTGAGAAACAAAACATGACAGTCAATAAAACATTTTCCTCCAATAAAAACCACGAATTTCCATACGTAGGCATGTCTATATCCCAAGCAACAGAAAATCCCAGGGAAACCTAGGAAATGAAGAAGAAAGAACAGGAGCATGGGTTCCACTCAGCATGGTACCATTCTCTAAGCTGTCCCCTCCTCCAGCCATAACCCATTAGACGTTGCATTAGCTTCTCTTCAATCATGGTCACCAGGTCCTCTCTCTCTCTCTCTCTCTCTCTCTCTCTCTCTCTCTCTCTCTCTTTCTTTCTTCTCTTTAGCAAAGTTAGAAAATACTTGTAAGAACCTAACTAAAAATCAGGAAATTAGCTCCCCACCCCCCAGAGACAGAGGTTCAAGATATGGGTAGCAAAATGTATTTTTGAAGCCCTACTAAAGAACAGAGCCCTTCTCAACAGCAGTGGCAGAGGGGACAGTTTCCCTCCTGGCACAAAGCTGGACATGTCCCATCTCGGGGCCTCCTGAGTACGGTGAGTCCAGGCCACAGCATGGGTAAGACAGTGCCACTTCTGGGTTTGGCCCATAAAGTCCAGCACACTCATTCCTAACTTGACTCACCCCATCAGGTGCCTGGAATGGAAAGGACTTGGAACCTTGGAAACTCTAAGCTGAAGATGGTGAAGATCACAGCATCCTGAGTCTGGCTGCATGGAGGAGGGGTGACCTGCTGGCTCACCTGTGTTCTCTGATGAAAGGTAATTAACGGCCGCTGTGCGTAAGCCAGTGTACACGGGAGCTAGCCTACAAGCCTACTGAAGAGACTAACTGCTTGTGAACCACCATCAGGCGCTTTCACAGGAGGAATTGGCAGCACCGCTGAGGAAGATGGGTTAAAGCTGCAAGCTTTAAAACACTCACATATATTTGCCCATTTAATTCAACTTCCAGTTGAGGTTTAGAAGTGGTATTAATAACTTCTTTGGTAGGAAAAAAAAAAAACACATGATTTCTGGCAGAAAGTCACTAATGAGGTAATTCTGCCTCCTTGTAATCTTATTAGCTGGAGGGGGCAAATTTAATTCTCACAATTAGGGAATTAAACCACAGCTTCAGACAGAGAAAGTGAAACAATGACATTAGAATAGCATTTTTTAGTGTGTTTTAACTATTCCATAATTCTTTCTAGTTTTTAAAAAGAAGTGACCAATGGAATTATCAGTTGACTCAAAACTCTTCCCACCCCAAAATATATATATATATATATATATATATATATATATATATATATATATATATATATATAGTTAATGAATAAGCAAAGAATCTGAGAACTTAGGTAAAGATTTGTCAGGATTGTTAAATCCCAGAAATGATACCTGAGTCAAATATGAATGAAGGTGTGTTGGTACCCAGCTCCTCATTCATCGCCCCGCAGTCACCACCACCACCCCCCCGCTCCATCTTCCACTCACTCACATCTACTGCTCAGTGCAGCAAGATTCCCAGAAGCCCGTGGTTAGGCTCATGCTACCCAGATTCAAGCCCCACAAAAATCTAACTGCCCAACCTGTAAATCTGTAAAACAAAAATAGAAGCTAACACACGTGTTTCCATGGAGATAAATCAGATAATGCAGAGAAGATATTGAGTTAGTGCCTGACAGGTAGGAAATATTTTTTTTTAATCTCTGCTTTTGTTATTGCTGTTATTATAGACAGTGTTCATCTTTCCTGAAGGAAAAGTTCAAGACTGATTTATCTCTTTATGCCCTACTGGGTGAGAAATAGTACTGTGGATAGATTTTTTTTTCATTTTTATCTTTTATGTACGCTCTCTGGAAGGGTGTTGAATTACCTAAAAATGGAACTACAGACAGTTGTGAACTGCCATGTGGGTGCTGGAAATTGAACCTGGTCCTCTGGAAGAGCTGCTAGTGCTCTTAACTGGTAAGCCATCTCTCTAACCCCCATATATATATTTTTTTAATGGAATAAATGAGTCACTATCAAGATCACAATTCTATGCTATATAATGAATATATAAAAAATACCAATGATACCATTATTTTTATAAGTTATCATGTTAAGTACTCACAGAAAATAAAACATCATATACAAAAACTCAAGAGATAAAATGTTAAAATATCAAAGTAGGGGCTAGAACGATGGCTGAGCAGTTAAAAGCACTGGCTGCTCTTAAAGAGGACTCAGATTCAATACCCAGCATTCACATGGTGGCTCACAACCACCTGTAACTACAATTCCAGTGACCTGACACCCTCTTCCGTCCTTCCTAGGCACCATGCACGCCCATGGTACACATACATACATGCGGGCATTTACACATACACATTTAATAAAAATAAACAGATCTTTTAAAAGGTCAAAGTAAAGGGCTGGAGAGATGGCTCAGAGGTTAAGAGCACTGGCTGATCTTCCAGAGGTCCCGAGTTCAATTCCCAGCAACCACAGGATGGCTCACAGCCATTTATAATGTGAATCTGGTGCCCTCTTCTGGTGTGCAGGCACACATGCAGGCAGAATACTGTAAATTAATTAATTTATCAATTTAAGTTATTAAATTAATTAATTAATATGTCCAAGTAAAGTCCCAAAAGTAATTCAACTTAATTTCTATAAATTAAATTGGAAGTTGGGGGAACACTAACTATGACACTCCCTTAAAAAGAAAGGCTTGTGGTTTGGAATAGAAAATCTTAAAGAAATAAAGTACAAGCAACTCAGCATGCTCTGACAAAAGGCTCTACAGGAAAGGGTGGGAAAGCCCATGACAAGAATCATCGTGGGTGTAAAGCTAGTTTCATTCATAACAGAAGTGCAAATGTATACACTGAATTGTATTTCTTCCCCTCTCAGATAGGCACAGATTGCAAGCGTGAAGGCACTTTGATGAGGACACGAAGTAACAGTTTCACCCTTTACCCATGGTGCAAATTGATGCATCTAAAGAGGCAATTTTTTTATATCTATCAAAATTATATACCACATACCCTTTGTCCCAACATTTCTGCTGCTAGAAATTCATCTTGTGTATATTCTCTCATAGTGGACAAAGTGACGGCGAGGCTCTGGCTTGGGTATGAAGTGTTCCCCACAAAAGGTCCATGTGCTGAAGGCTTGCTCTCCATGTAAGTGGATCATGAGGACGCTAACATACATGTTGTAATATAGCAAGTATAATGAAGAACAAGAACCGCAAAACAGTCTTAAAGCCAAACCCAGAATGCTGCCTGTTTGGGCACAGTCCACAGGTTCAATGTGAAAAGGTTCTACCTTTTCAATGAGTGGAGAAGATAAAAACAGAAATAATATTTCATTACATGTGTAGTTTGAATCCATGTAACCCGTCCATAAATAAATTTAAAACACAGCTGTAAGCCTTACTCATTCACACTGCATCTCCTGTGACCACCCTCTACCTCAAAGGCACATTTGGCAAAGCCTAAAACAGTCACTCACGCTCTTTAAGGGAAAAGTTTGCCAACCTCAAAGTTTATTATCTAATATATGTTGTTAAATGAAAAAACGTGAAGTCCAGTAGGGATATACGGAATGGTGCCGTGAGAAAATAATTATACATCCAAAAAGAATCTCTTTTAAGATTTTACTTTTAACCATGTGTGTGTGAGCCTGTGTGAGTGGATGCCATGTGTGTGGCTACCTATGGAAGCCAGAGGTGTCTAATGCCCTGGAGCTTGAGTTACAGGAATCAATGAGCTGCCTGACATGTGGGCTGGGCATCGAACCCAGCTCCTTTGGAAGAACGATACACATTTTTAACCACTGAGCCATCCCTCTAGCCCCTCCAGATAGTTTAAAGAGAGAAATATAATATCTGGGGATGGGAATCTTCCTCCATTATAGTCCTATTACCTTCTTTTTTTTAGCTAAACTTATTTGATTTTAATATTTTTAATATTCATATTTACCTTATGACTTTTATAAAATATGAGCACAACTTCAAAATTAAACAAGGCCAACCCTCTCTACCCATTACGTGCAAGCATTTAGTGTTGGCAGGAATGCCTGAGATCCAGTGGCAGGGATATTTCTTTAAGACAATCTCTCCATAAACTAAACTGTTGCTTATGTGAAGAAACAAAAATACACAGTCTATTAATCTATTAATTCCTAGCAAAATGTGCAATTGCATAACTTGCAATGAGTAAGGAAATTATAAATGTCTTAGTGTCCAACAGTGGTGAATTTCTTTCCTTTATTTTTAAATTATGTGTTTGGGAGAGGAGAAGTACATTCACATGAGTCCAGGTGCCACTTAGGATAGTGTTGGATACCCATGGATCTCCATGAAGCTGGAGTTAAAGACGATTGTGAGGTGCCAAACATGGGTGCTAGGAGCTGAGCTTGGGTTCTCTAGAAGAACAGCAGACCTGACTAACTACTGAGCCACCTCTCAGGTCACTAGAACGTTTATTTGCTTGCTTTGTAGAGTGCTTATCTATCGTGTACAAGACCCTGAATTTTTAGAATTCTTAGCGCTACGAAAATAATAAGATTGCACTATTTAAACATATTTAATGTCGTTAGGGCATTTTGCCTTGTGATATTAAATGTAAAAGAAATAAACAATTGCATGTGTATTTCTTTGAAGTTGTTTGTTTTGATACAGGGTATCCCTTTATAGCTATGCTGGCCTCTTACTCACAAATCTCGCCTGCCTCAGCCAAATGAGTGCACAGCCGTGCCTGGCTCGTCTGTGTAATTTAAACTGATTTTTAACGGGGAAATACTAGAAGTAAATATATAAAACGGGAATGGATGTTGTCATTGGAGGAGGGGGAGACAGGGCGAGGGATGGTGGTCCCCCATCTGAAGGAATGCTTCGGAGAAGCCTTTCTCACCTTCTTCCTTCCATAGTAGAGCAGCTTGGTGAATTTCTCCACGATCTGTGCTGGCGTCTCCACGCTGGGGGGAATCTCCCCAGTGAGCAGGTTGCGAGTCCCGGAGCTCTGCTCCGGCCAGTGCTCATCATCGGTCAAGTTGATGAGGTTGGCCACCGTGGGCTGCCTCTTGTACTTCTCCAGCTTCCTGCAGTCCTGCATCAGCAGCTCTGCAATGTCGGACCCCACCATGGACTGCAAAGTAAAGAGAGCCATCCTCGGGGATGTTCCTGGTCTGGACCCAGGCTGAGGAAGGAAGGCGGCAGGGCCTCTGCCTTCTTCTTGAGGCAGCCATGCAAATACACGGTAGACCTTTCGTGAGTGACTCAATTTCAAACATCAGCTTCGCTATCGCGGTTACTCTCTGCCTGCGGGCAGCCACGGAGCTCATGAGAACCACTCAAAATTCCGCTAGACTCTAGCAGATTCAGTAATCCAGGGCCTGTATAACAAACCCCAGCCAGCAGGGGGCACTCTCGGGAAAGGTTAGCACTGGCAGGCTGGTGTTGGCACCCAACAGCGCTTTCCCTAGGGACTGCTTTTTGTCATTATGCCCGTACACCAAGGCCCACGAAGACTGAAACTTCAGCCCGCCCTCCATCTGCCCCCTGCATCAAAGACTTACCCCATTCTGTCTACAAAGGAGAACCAGCAGTTGCCAAAGCAGGGCTGAGTCCCTGCTCCTTGGTGACTCAGATTTGAGACACTGAGCGGCTTTCTTCTGGCAAAATGTCATGATATCCACCTTGTGTATGTCCTCCCTGTGGGGCGATTCAGAAAGAAAGGCCTGAGCAGGCCCAGGCTCCTGTACAGTGAGCAAGCCTACATGGCAAAAGCCTAGTGGCCCAGGCCTGAATCACAAGATTCTCTCTCTCTCTCTCTCTCTCTCTCTCTCTCTCTCTCTCTCTCTTTCTCTCTCTCTTCAGAGATTCTCTCATGCATCCATCCATCTTTTTGACGAGGAAAGTGAAGCCCAGAAACCCTGAGTGACTTCTCAGAACTGCGGGTAAGGTCTGGTTTAAAGTCAGACAAGACTGAGTCCCTGTCTGGCTTACGCAAACATCTCACTGTGAGCCTCGGTGCCATTCCGTCCTTACCACAGGACTGAAAAATGAAGCTGCCAATATCCAAAAAGGGATAAGCAAACTGTGCGACATCCACAAATAAATGATTGTTAAAGGAGCATTACTTCTTGCTCAAGACCATTCAACAAGTCAGTGCCAAGTGGGACCAACAGCGTACTGTTTAATACACTACCTAGTTCTCTGAATACCTGTAAGACACAGAGAGAGGAAAAAAAGGTATTTGGCACCTGAGGAATGTCCTCTGGTCCCCACATTTGTGTGCACACACATGCACGCACGGACATGCATGCGCGCCCACAGACACACCAACATAATACTCAGTTGTAACACGGGACTTCCTCAAGGGCGAGCTTCAGAATAGTATTCTGTGTACAAAGCAGTGGTGGCGTTTAGTGGGCGGCACATGAGTAGAGTCTCACAGCCTCTAGAGCAGGCAGAGTGAGTGCTATATAATTTCTCAAGGGGAAAACTTAAAGAGGGCTGGCGAAACATTGGTCAGGAGGATACCTGGGAGGCTGGTCCTCTGACACCCCACCTAAGACTCAACCACAGTTTTTTTTTTTGTTTTTTGTTTTTTGTTTTTGGTTTTTTTTTTGTTTTTGTTTTTGTTTTTTTTAAGTGCCGAAAATGCTAGCGCAGTTCTAGTTCATTCCTGCAGAGGGCGGACGTTCACAACGTCCGGGAACTGGAAAGCTGGGTTGACGGCTCAGAAAAGACTGTTTCCCAAGGCTGTGTGCTACATTTCCTATCTAAGTACATGGGACACTAAAGCTTTCTACCGACTAATCTCTACGAAATGGATGTTTTTAGATGTCTAACTTATCATGCGAACTTTTCTTTCTGCCCTTCAGATGTGAAGCAGCTTGTCAAAATGACTCAAGCCACCTTTTTCTACCTACTGACATATAGAAATAGGCTTCAAATAAAACAGACATTTTCTTCCATGGAAACCCAGACCTGGGCAAGAAGATTCCTCAGCTTTCCAAAGCTTTTATTTAAGAGTTGGTGATAAGCTTTGTGGGTAAGAGCACTGGCTGTGAAAGCAAGAGGACATGACTTCAAATCCCAAACACCCACATAAAAGCCACCATGGATGCGAGTGTCTGTACGACCAGAGTTTGGAGGACAGAGACAGGCAAGTCCTGGTAGCTAAGTATCCAGACAGACAGCCTACCAACATGGCAAGCTTCAGGTCCAGTGAGAGACCCTGTCCCAAAAAAAAAAAAAAAAAAATGATCGAGCAAAAGAGGAAGATAAGAGAGTGAAAGAGGAAAACAATGGATGTCTTCCATTTCTGGATTCCACATGCGTGCACCTTCAAACATGTGTGCATACATATCACACACACACACAAATACACACACACACACACACACACACTCCCTTAACAGTCTTGCAGGACTTTACCTGATGAGGGGCCCTGGGAAACCTCTCATCTCCTCTTGATCCACAGAATCATTAAGTAAAACCTGGAGCAGAAAATAAAATTAGGTCCCCACCAGTGCCCATCAGTCAAATCCAGTTTCAAATCCAGGGCTGTGGTCCTGTGGTGTGGCTCAGTGCCCTGTGGATATGGTTATCGTGAAGACGAGCCTCTAGAATCTCAGGGAAAACGTAAGTCTAACATCACTTTCTTCAAGGAAAAGCCCACCCATTCCTGCCCACAGTCTAAGGTATGTGTGGCTCAGCTCCCCCTCCTGGAGATACTCAGCCTCAAGCAAAGTGAAAGCATGAGAAGAGCAATTGGGTTGAGCTGAGCATTCCCACACTGGCACACACACACGCGCACACACACGCAGGCCCAAAATATTGATTACCTCCATACTGTGCACTTCAACAAGGGCCGTTTGTCCATCAGCAGGAGAGTTCGGGGACACACATACTAGCTGGCCTCCTGGTCCAAAACTCACAGACACGTGGGGATTGTAAAACTTCATGGGTGTCTTGGGGACAGCTGCTGAGGTATCATCTGGCCAAGAGACACACATGGACATTGTTAGGTTTCTCTTCGCTGCGCTTTAGTTGGTCAGTTTCTGTTCACATTCCACCTAGGCCAACATGAGGTGCTGGGTGGGATGCCTAGTTAGAAAAAGTCGGGCTCCGATCTGATTCAAACCTCTAAGAATATGCCAGATCATAATGCAAGGATTTTACCATTTGAACACACTCCCTCAGGTTTCACAGCCGTGGTCAGGACACAGGCAGCTGCTTGCGGCCCGTGTGTACATGGCAAACCTCCAGACTAACATTTATACTTTGTATCCTCACTTCACTTCACCCCATCCTCTCTCCTCTTCATTTTCCTCACTTGTTGCTTAGAAACACCCCAGCATGCCTCCTGGCCCAACTATGATGACTAGGAGCAGGGTTCCCTTCCCAGAGCCACCTTCACTACATGATCCATTACTAGAGAAGAGGTGGGAAACGGATCCCAAGTTGGCCTCTCTGCCTAAGCCAATATAGCAAACATAGACCCATTCCTGGAAGAGCAGAAGGGTGGCTTTCCATTTGACCCAACCTTTCCCTATCAGAATTCACCAGCTCCCGTGGCCATGTGGCACCCACCATCCTGAATAGGCCTCCAAGATGCCGAGACCATTGGTTCGTACTGCTCAGGGGCATCTGTCATGTATTGGCTGAGCTCATAGCTGCTAGAGCTGAGGCCAGACTCGTGGTGCTGGAGAAGGTTGGATTTGCTGGTCAGCGATGGCTGTTGGGGAAAAGGGGAGAAAAACAACTAAATGATCTAGGAAGGCGGTTCAGAGAGCTTGTCTTCTTCCCAGGTTGTTCCTTCAAAGAAACGAAATTCAAGCTTTCCACTAAACACACTGAATGTGGACTCGCGGAAAGAAGAAACCATCCCATTGAGCACAGCCCAGTGGGGTCACAGGACTTCGATTTCAGCTTTAATTTCTGTCACCCTGCTGCTATGACCTTAAACAGGTGACTTGGGCTTCTCCGGCCTAATACCTTCATCTGCGGTATAAATTCAAAGTATCTGTCCTATACACATTACTTATTAATGCACTAGCTATTTTGTGAACATTTGTGCCCTCTGGATAATGCGAACTCCCCGCAGACAAGTGAGGAACTTAGGTTCTGGGAGAGATGAATAAAACAGTGGATTCAAAGGCTCATTGTACACTGTAAAGTGATATTCACACATTGGGGCTGTAGTATCAGTCACTATAACCTCTGCTGTAGCCTAGTAATACAGAAAAACATTCTACAAAAAAAAAAAGAAAGAAAAAGAAAATCAAACAACTCTAATCAGGGAGAAAAAAAAATCTGAGCCTGCCAACAATTAAGAACTCGTCTCTACAATATTTTTGCATTTCTATAAATCCAAAATTATCCCATAATAAAATATTTATCTCACTACTATCAGGAGCTCTAGTGTATGACCTAGATTGTGCCTGTTTTAGAGCACAGAGATTAAAGAGTCAGGAAAGACATCAAGGCTGCTTTTCAAACCTAAATTAAAAGACTCTAACAACTTTCCATTTCCTAAACCTTTAGTCCCCCCCGGGGCGCCCTAACACCTAACACGCTGTGGCAGCCTACTGGCTCTCCGAGCACCTCTCAGTGAATTAAGTCCTACCCACTTGACAAAACAGGAATAGGTCAGACCAGAGCCTCCGACTGGTAAGACTCAGATGGGCAGGCAGGGGAAAGCGGCGTGAGTGAAGACTCCGTCCGCTGGCAGCTGCAGACCCCCATCCCCATGGCCGCAGGCCTCCGGGCCCCCTGTCACGTTAGGTTACCTTTCGTTTCTGGGCCTCACTCCCTGGGAAGAACTCCCCAGGCTGCTCCTGTCCAGAGATAGAAGCGGGGCCATCTTGGTATGGATTCTTGCTGGTGTGTCTGCAGCAAAATGACAGGAGTGTTGAGACAAGTCCCGGGCTAGGCAGCAAGGCTGAAATACTCTGCTGGAGGCTGGCCTGGTGCTGTGTGGGAACCTGTCAGGCCAGTTTGAGTGCTAAAGTGAAAAGTATTTCCCCCCCTCTCCCGCCTCAATGTATTAGAAAGAGGGAATGTTTGGTTCCACACACAGTTATTAGAAGTGGTCCAGACCTTACAGAGAATGGCTGGTCACTACAGCCTGCCCTCCTGCAAGAGCCCAAGTCAGAGCCTCTGCTTTGGTGAATTCCAAGGCTAAGGTCACCAGGCAAAATACTTCAGTAATGTGTCTTCCCTGCTATGCCTTATGCCAGGAGGATGCCCCATGCTTAGGCCCAGGGAGAGGGAACACAGACACACTCCAGCCCCAATGAGGGTCCAGCCATTACAATCACTGAAGGACCACATTGTTTCTGAGGCCAGTATAGGATTTGGCCTTTAGATGGGCCTCAAGCAATCTTTCAGGATGCAGACTAGCCCTGAGTGGGAACAGCTCTCAGAGATTAAAAAAATAATAATAATAATCTCTCTTCCCAAGATCATGTCAGCACTTGGCCTGGGCCACCTTGGACTCTTCCCATGTCTCTGCAGCTGGAACAAAAGCAGACTGTGTCTCCTGCAGGTCAGGGACCGCCTGACCTTAGATGCCCTAAGATCGTCCTGACAGAGTCTAACCAAATCTCGGCAGCATGGCTTGTTCTTTCACACTTACTGGAATTGGGTCTCGCTATTTGTTCCCAACAAGCTATTGCGCTTTTCTCGTCGATGCTCACTGAAGTACTTTTTGTCTCCATAATCTTCATGCCAGGCAGAAGGACTCCCTTGCCTTGCTGCTGCACCCTCAGAGAAAGCAAAACGAAGACAGGTTACTTGCTGCTTCTGGAAGTCCTTTTAGGAAGACACTAGGGAGCGGTGAGGCTGAGGTATTGTGGCACGGGGAGTGGGATAATACATTTGCCAAGGTGGGTCGGTCGATGGGTGAGAGCTAACCATGCAAGCCACCAACACGCTCTGAACCAGTGTACATGCCTTTACATAGTTTAACAACAGCAGTGTGTGTGTGTGTGTGTGTGTGTGTGTGTGTGTGTGTGTGTGTGTGTTTTCAGGGATGAAACAGGTTCTCTATGCTAGCTAGTCGTGAATAGCACAATGCTCTATTATGCGGGGGTATAGGATATGGAACTCCCAATGCCATCCCTCTGCTGCCCCCAGGGAAGTGACTGTTGCGCTCATACACCCAGCATACCCGACGGGCTTAAGAACAGACTTTGCTGCTAATATAACCTTTGCTATGATAAGCAATAAGAGGAAGAAGTGAATGAAGTGTGCACTATCCATAGAAAGAATAGGATAGGGGTTGGCTCGGTAGCGTCAAAGGGCGGGGTCTTCAAACATGACGTCAGTGGTCTCTGGCCCTGGCAGTAGGCTGCTCATGCATCTCCACTCCCCAGAGGCTTCTGGAGGTTACTTCATACCTCTTTCTTCTTGCAACAGTTGTGGGTGTCCGTGGTAGTAATAATTTCTGTAAGCATATTCATCCCTCGGGGTCGGAGTGTGGTACCTCTGATAGGGGTCCTCGTAGCCTGATCTGAGACATCACAAAGACAGCCAGTCACCCACCGACGGCAGTAAAGGGAGAAACCAAAGGGAGACTGGAGGAAACCAGACAACTTCAGAAGACAAGGTGACTGCCCAGAACGTGACTGCTTCACAGTAGGTCAGAAAATTCAAAATCAGAAAGGGGGAGTTCCTATGCTTCACGAGAAGACTTCAGCTTTTATAGTAAGGCTCTTTTTTACTTTAAAATGCTCTTGTAAAAAGGAATTTATTTAAAATTCTTTTTTTTATTTTATAGCAATATTCTTACTCTCCAAATATACACATTCAGTACCTTAGAAGCTGTTATCTTAGAAAGCCCCACCCTTGTACTGAGAAAAACCCCTTTCTGAGGAGAATATAATAAGATGCAATGTGCCGTTGGACTTTCCATGCATATTACAGACAGAAGGGACACTATCACCAGCATGATTTCTTTTATTGCCTCTGTCCTTGACATACTCAATCTCTCTCAAGAACTCAACAGTCCAGAAGGATTGGGGAAAGGAACATTATTAGTGTTGATGTCAATTAACAATATCCACAGAGGCAAAATTATGTATAATAATTGCTGTAACTTTAACTTTCAAACTGTAGAGTAGATAGATATGATCTCAAGTAGAAGAGAAAAGGAAAGCATAGACGACTTCCAATATTCCGTGAAATATTTAGTTCAATACTGTGGGATTGGGGGAGCAGGAGTTCAAGATTCTCCAGGAGAATTACCTCTGTGGTCTCTTCCTCCTCACCTTACAACCTGAAAAAAATCTGTATATGCCTTCTCTGAAGAAAGTTTTTCTTACAGTTCTTACATATGAAATGCTGATCTTTGCATGTCTGTCACCCTCCAGGTTCAAGCCCCTGGGGTTGCTGGTGCTGTTGGTATCAGGCTAAGATCAAAGAAGATGTGAAGTCTTTCAGTGTCCTAGGGAAAGCTTTTCCAAAGCCCACAAAAGCTCCCTTTTACAATCCCAAAGCACAGAGGTCCCATCTGCTCTCGGATATTCCTACCTTCTGCCCATCCCTCTACCACAATCACACTGTGATGGCGGCTCTATGAAGGTTTACTTGGGATAAAAAAGAGGGAAACGCGGTCACCGGTCACCAAAAACCAAATCAGGCCAGGACAGATTGTGGTTAAGCCAATAGAGAAGAGTGGGTACCCTGGTGGTTGTCAAACTTGACACAAATCTAGACATATCCAGAAGGAGGGAATCGTAATTCAGGAAGCTCCCCCAGAAGATTGGCCTGTTGGCAAGTTTCTGTAGGGCATTTTCCTGGCTGATGATTGATGTGGGAAGGCCCAACCCACTGGGGGCGGAGCCGTTCCCGAGCTGATGGTTCTGGGCTGTAGAAGGAAACTGAGCAATTCAGGGCTAACCAACAAGTAAGCATCATTCCTTCATGGTCTGCTTCAGTTCCTGCTTCCATTCCTTCAGTTCCTGACTTAAGTTCCTGCCCTGATTTCCATCCTCAGTGATGGATTGTGATGTGAAAGCGTAAGATGAAATAACCCCTTTCCTCCCCAAGCTGTTTTTGATCATGGCATTTTATCACAGCAATAGAAACCCTAACTAAAACAGTTAGGAAAGAGGAGGAGGAGCTAAAGAAAAAAAGGAGGAGAAATATAACAAGGAAGGAAGAGCAGTACAGAATGGTGACTGCGCTTGAGAGGCTGGGTGAGGGCCTAGGTTTGAGGACAACCTGTTCTATGTAACAAATTCCAAGAAAGAGAGAAGGGGGTGGGGAGGAAGAAGGAAATGAACAATAAAGAACAGCCAACAGTCTATTCATAGGTACTTAGGAGAGCTAGGCTCACTGTAGCCTGAAAAATCATACCTTGAGTACACATGACTAGGATAAGATCCTTTCAAGTAGTCAGCTCTGGACACAGGCTGGGACCACTCCCCAGGTCTGGGTGCATAGTGGAGCTGTTGGTGGTCAGCCCTGGGCTCCTGCTGTGGCTTTGAGCTCCTGCGGGCATCTTGCCATTGGTGGTACAGAGGGTGAGAACGGGGTCTATAAAGTCCACTCTGGAGGCCTCTATTCGCATCCTTTGATGGTGTCATGGGCCTCCCTTGTGGCTGAGATGGCCTCTGGGGAACCCAAGGTTCCATTTCTGACCCTTTGGGTTTTCCCCCTTGGGTCTTGAGGCTGTTATGTAGTTATTTTAATTTCCTGCACACAAAAAGACAACAAATCGTCATTCTGGAGAGCTGGGGACACAGCTCAGTTAGTAAAAGGTTTGCCTTTCAAGCACCAACATGTCAATTTTATCCCGAGCAGTTACATAAAAAGCCGACAGGCGTGGCATGGCAGTGCACATCTGTAACCCCAGTGCTGGACAGAGAGAAACAGGAAGATCCCTGGGGTTCACTGGACAGCCAACCGAGCCTAACCAGTGATCCCCAGGTCCCAGTGAAAGGCCTTGTCTCAAAAAACAGGGTGTCTGGCTCCTGAGGAGTACCACTCCAAGTCAACCTCTGGCCTAAATACACACACACACACACACACACCACGACATACACAAACACAAATTCAGCATTTTAAGCTTTTATGCAAACATGGTAGTTGATGAGATTCTGTGAAAAGAGCAACTATGATCTCAAAATTGTCAGGAAAAAAAAAAAACATCTGAGCACAGACATAGAGGAATATGAAAAAAAATCTCAAACAGATACATTAAATAAATAACAGGCTAGACAATTAGATTGAGGCTGACTAAAAGATTAAGAAAGCACATATGGAACAGCAGATGTGGGTGGCATGGGAGGCAGATAACAGTACTTGATGCAGCTACTAAATGCTCTCAAGGAATCCCAATTAATGTTTCCTGGTTTATCCCACCAGCAAATGTTTATACAACACTTAGAACGGATGTGCTGAGGTATCAGAACCAGAAGAACTAGAGTAAGCCTTGTGGGGAGATGGTCAGGTTCAAATCATTTGTCTCTTACCAGACTGATAATTTGTTTCGCCCTCCATGTTGGTTCCCATGGAGACAGAAGATACTGTGAGCTACTGTTGCAGCAGCATTGGTGTCAAAGTTGAACATGACGTATAGAAAATGCCTAGAACGGCCTTGGACATAGTAATTGTTCAGTACACTATTTGGAGGTCAAGGAGACACGCCCCTGGGTGCTGTGGGTGCTGTTTGCGGCATAAGCATGAGAACCCGGGTTTCGATCCCTCGCACGCACATGAGAAGCCACATCTGGTGCTCCTGCAACCATCAGTGAGCTTCAGATACAGTGAGGGACCTTGGCTCAAAAACTAAGCTGGTGGGCCATAGGGGAAGGCATTCAGTATTGACCTCTGTCTAGCCTACACACACACACAAACACACACACAAAATGTATGTACATGTACATGTATCACACATGCATACATAGGCATACACATACACATGCAGGCACACACACGCACATACACAGACACATATCACATCACATACACACAACATATGTCCACGTGTACACACATGACACACACAAACATGCACATACACAGCACATCACATACAACATACTTACATGTGAGCACACATATCACAAACATATATACACATATTCACACACGCACACACGTGTACATACACACACACACTCTCTTTCAAATGACCCCATAAAAGACTTCTCTTCTGACTACCTTCTTTAAGCTCTTCTCTTACCCTTCCTCTGGGCGAACCAACAGACACAAGTTTGGGGCTGCTGCTATGGAAAAACAAAGCCAAGTCTCCGTTCCTTCTGACTGAAGACGTTTAGACCTGAAAGTTTCTCTCCTATGAGACTAGCTTCCCCACTCATTCCTCAAGATAAGAACGAGCTCCAGGGACTGGTGTGCTTCCCCAGGTCCTCCACTTGCACGGCAGAGAGGCCCATCAAGGAGGGAAAGCCCAGCCAGGCCCTGCTTCTGTCCAGAGATATTCTGGATCACCAGCAGGCAAGGGCAGCCTCCCCTCTCCTTTCCCTTCAGAATGTTGAAGGCAATCTGATTCTGAACCTGTTAGCTCGATCTTAGTGCGGACGCTTCCAAGTTCATCTGGAAACTCTTATCAGAAGAAAAGGTCAAAGGGGCATATGGTGAAAGCAAGATTACCCTGTTTGAACACCACAGAGCCAGGGTCCAGAGCAATGAGCCAGGAGCTGTGAGACAGCAGGAAGGGCAGGCAAGAGAGGGGCCTTCTGTTTCAGGCCAATCATAACACAGGACCTGCTGCCTTCCACTCCAGGCCAGCTTGCTTCCTCAAAACACTCAGTACTAATGAAAACTTTGCCAGCAAATTCCAAGAAGGGACCAGCAACACCCCTTCCCCCCCACCCAGTACCATACAAGGATCCTTTGCTTAAAGTCCCATGCTTACTTGTGTCTTCTTACTTGGCCATGAGTAAGAAGAACTTGAAAATTGATTCCCTTGTCCTGATTGAAAAGTAATCGATTCACTTTGCACTAAGCATCCTGGCCCCGACTACAAAGGCACAATACCTGGATTGCTCTGTCATCAAGAGTCACCAACTCCAGGAGTTTAGACCTGGTGTTGTAATTAAGGGTTCTCATTTCCGAACCTCTGAGAGTATCAAAATGACAGAATTCTTTCTATAATAACAATCGCAGCTTTGTACGCACATGAGTGACCCCCCACCCCGCCCCCCACGACTCAATAAGAAGAACTTCCGACTCCATCAGTACAGTATGCACAACTCAAGCCAACTCAAGCGAAAGAAGGAGGCCAGTGCCCCCACGCACCTGCTCTGCCGGCTCTCCACCTTCCTTCAGTGTTGCTCCGGAGACCTGCTGGGGAGTGCCTTCTCCCTTCTTAGAGCCTGACAAAGTCCAGGTGCCACATCCACCAAGACTCACCTTCACATCTGCAGCCAATTACTTACCTTTGCAACCGCCCTGCCTCCATGGAGCTGATTCATTAGAGCAAAGTCCATGTAGCTACCGCGGGCTGGGACAGTCCTGACTTGGCGTATTTGCTCAGAACCTGGTAGGGGCTGGTGCTTTTGTTTACCTGGTCCTGCACTAAGCCAGCTACACTCCGATGAGAATACATCCAACCCCCACCACCACACACACACACACACACACACACACACACACACACACCTCCTTCCCCACGACAAATACGGAAGAGGGACACTAGAGAAAGGAAACCCAGAATGGCCCGAGGCGGACTGATCTGCGGTGTGTGGACTTGTGGCTCTGCCACTGGCTGGCTCTGTTACTCTACATCTCTGAGCCTCAGTTTCCCTTTCTAACACTTGTCTGATGAGGCTCATGGACAGGGGTGGATTTGGTCAAGTACAGAAGCTACAAGCAAGTACACACTAAAAGCAAGCACAGCCTTTCCAGATGATAGGAGCCGACGGCTCGCACTGGTTTCCCTCACCCAGGCTTTCCCCAGTGGGCTCCGGCTGCACAGTCACCTCTGGTTTCCAGCTGAAGGGAAGAGTTCAGTCCCAATACTGAACTGACAGCACTGAAAGGTTTTCTATCACAAGGAAGGAATTTCTCACATTTGAAAAGTATATAGTTTAATGCTAAGTAGACACAGCTGCTGTCATTTCTCCTTTGGGATGTACATTTTAAATCTTAAATCCTGCTGTAAATTGGGCCCAGTTTTTATTCTTTCAATAAACCTGTTTGTTTTGTCCTAAGTCTAGCACTCACAAGTGCTAAGAGCTATATCCTCAGCCCTGATTTTTGTTTGGTTGGTTGGTTGGTTTGGTTTGGTTTTGGTTTTTTGTTTTCTGTTTGTTTTGGTTTTGGTTTTTTTGCTTTTGTTTTTGTTTTCTTTTTTAATTGGGGAGGGGTTGTTCAAGGCAAGGTTTCTCTGTGTAACCCTGGATGTTCTGGAACTCACGCTGTAGACCAGGCTGGCCTTAAACTCACAGAGATCCTCATGCCTCTGCCTCTCTGCCTCTCTCCTCCCAACTGCTGGGATTAAAGGCTTGCAGCAGCACTGACCAGCTTAGCCCCTTTTGAGAGGGAAGTCTCACTAAACTGCCCAGGCTGGCCTTCAACTCACTCGGTAAATGAAGCAGTCCTTGAAATTGATCAGAGGCCTTCACCACCAGGCCCCAATCAACAAACCCTTAAATGAGTTCCTGTTACTTGCCAGCATTTGCCACATACAAATATGAAAAGATACTGTCCGTGATTCCAAGCACCTTAGAACAAATTAGCCTTTCATGTAGTTCCTGGTCCAGGGAAAAACACCATTATCAGTTCTTGTGGTCAGATAGGTAACGGATCTAAGCCGTAAGACTTTCTCTTCACCCCAAGCACCTAACAAGTCTCAGACTGTAGACGGTGGTTCCTTACCATGCTAGGCCTTGAGTCCTAGCTTACCAATGGCTACATCGATGCTTTTGCTCTCTCTGGAAAGAGGCAACAGAGGCACACACAGACATTGACAGCAGGAATCACAACACTGTTAATTACCAGACAGACTCTATATCAATTATGTTTTTACATGTCACAATTCCAGGAGTAAAACTCTAACATGAGACTCACTCACCCTGTGTCGCAACAGCAGTGTCCCTGGGGTGCTAACTGTAAAAAGAATCTCAGAGATCATTTGAGCAACTTCACCTTAATTTAAAAAAAAAAAAAGATAAAACTAAGAAATACAGAACAGTGCTTTACCCAAGATCTTACGGAGCTAAATAGAAGACCAGTGAGGAGAGTGTTGGAATGTTAGCTATAGCTAGCTGCCTTACACAGGCTTCCCAGATCTGATTGTGAAATATTTAAGAGCTTTGTGAACTGGTCAGAAAGCCAGAGGTAATTCAAAATTCACTATGCCCTGGGTGTCCACACCACAGAAACTGGTGAATGCTGTTTGTTTTTCAGCAAACAAGTTTACCAGCACACTGAGTTTAATCCCAGACTCTTAGCTCTTAATTCCCTGTTCCTTCAGTTTTAGAGTTATCATTCCATTGCTAACCTTAGCTGCACGTTTCTAGTTTAAACGTCTAGCCCAGTTACTCCAAATGCTCCTTTTGTGGCATCCCCAAGCACCTCTAATTATCTCAAGAGTTATTATGAAACTCTTCAAACACTCACCAACTGAAATTAATTTTAATTAGCTTTAATTATTTTGTATAGACATATGGCATACAACAGTAAAATGGGTCACAGAAGGAAATAGATTGTGGTGGGATCTCACCACTCCAAAGCATTTGGGATTTCTCAATCCCTGTTTTCTCAGCCCCAAATAGCTACAGCTGCCACCAAGTCTTTCTACCTGGCAGCTAAATTCTTCCTGGTTTCCAGACAAATTTTATCTAGCTCGACAAGGCTTTACGAGCACAGGCTCTACTAAGGGGTGATTTGAATTAGTCCTGACATTCTAGACTCTGGGTACAATGCCCCCACATGAACCCATAGATTCCCTCATGCCCAAACAGCTACTGCCTTTATCCTTGCCCTGGTGTCCTGCCCTCCTACCTGATTCTTGTTCTGCATCCCAATTATTCATCAAGAGGAGCCTCGGGAGCTTGCTAATCTGTGTGAATTTCACACACTCCCTGGCCTCCTTTCCAAATGTCAGGCTACTATCTAGGGTCTTGGTTCAAACAAGAGAAACTACCAGGCCTATAGACTGAATGTGATTTTCTTTGAATAATTGCAAGTTGAAATCCTAAATCCTAATGTGATAGAGTCAGGAGGTGAGGCCTTTGGGAGGTGAACAATCATGTTAGTGGAGCCCGTGTGAGTGGGGTTAATGCCCTCTGCAAAGGCTCGGGGGGAACGTTCTTTCTCTCTGCTCTCTGTTCTGGAACGAGATAATCAGAAAACAGGTATCTGCAAACCCAAAAGCAGGCCCTCATCAGACAGCAGATCTGCCAACAAATTGATCCTGCCCTTCCTAGGCTCTAGAAATGTGAGAAATAAATTCCTGTCACTTAAGCCATCAAGCCTGCGGGATTCCGTTGCAGCAGCTTGAGCTGGCATGACCCAGGTGTGAAGTGTGCCTGACAAGAAGGCCATCACTGCTGCTGAGTCTCCCACCATCAGATGGAGCTGGCGGCTGCCGACACCAACCCAGATCCAGCACAGGTTTGCCAGGAGTGCCCCAGTCCTGTGACCTCAGGACTGATTAGTATTACAAAGAACAGCCCAACAGGTGAGACCGTTCCCCAGCCTTGACCTTCTTCCTTCACCAAAATTAAAAACTTAGTTCTGTGTCAACATGTTAGCAGCAGTTATCTGCTTTGGGGTAATAGAATTTTACATGATTTTATTTTCCTTTTTGCTTGTTCACAGAATCTAACTTCTCTGTGATAGATGATAGATAGATAGATAGATAGATAGATAGATAGATAGATAGACACACATACATACATACATACATACATACATACATACATACATCGCTTCTCGGCCTTTTGGCTAAGATCAAGTGTAATACATACAGACAGACAGACAGACAGACAGACAGACAGACAGACATAGATAGATACATAGATGGATGGAAAGATAGATAGATAGATAGATAGATAGATAGATAGATAGATAGATAGAATCCATATATCCAATGTATAGATTGGATATATATATTTGATATATAGATTGAATATATTCAAATGTGTTGTCACAGTAGTAACTAATTGGAGACCCAAGTTACTAAGTAAGGCAATCATACCTACAAAGCTTCCAAGTTGGTTAACTGTGGTACGTCTGCTATTGTGTGGATAATTTGAACCATTCATTTACAAAGCAAGTATCTGTGGAATAATACCCAACTGTATCATGTGCATTTGAAGCACATAGAAACCCAGCATATGGTCCTTGATTTTTAAAGAGCTTTAAACTCAGTGAAGTATCAGACACTGTTTTCAGGATTATTCTGAAACATCGGTGGTTTTTCTGGGAAAAGGATGTGCAGAGGAAAACATGAGGCAAAATGAGGAGGTACATTACTTGA